CCAACGGTTTTCTGACTCGCATGCGCTCAGTTGCGCCAAATAGCGCTTCGATGCTATGGACGCTCTTTGTTGTCTAGCCGTCTAGCCACTGGTCGTCATCTGTGATATCTGTCATCACATGATATCATGTTTCATCGTCTGTTGTCTCTGTTGTCTGTCCTTCCTCAATGCCTCCTTCTTCCTCAACGGATTCCTCGATGCCGCCCAACTCTTGTTCTCTGGGGCGAGCTATGTGATTCGCATCAAATGATGACAAATGCATCCGGAAAAAAATGGGTCTCTCTGGGTCGTCCATCACTTGAGGGCAGTGCAAGGTGATATAAGTTTGCCTGGAACACATGTAGCTCCGAGAGGCCCCGGGCACGCGAAAGAGCATTGGATGGCGAAAGTAGCACCGGCGCTCAATTTCGGATGGGGGAAGGTTGACGACATTTTGAATCATTGTTTCTATCCTATCCCAATCGGTCGGCCGGATAAATCTGCGCAGGGTTGGCATGCCTGATTCCATGGTGGGGGCCCATGATTGACGATGGAAGCTTAAACGAACTTCCTTGACATCCAGAAGCCCAGTCTCATTGGTAAACAACAGAGCAATTTCCATGAGCTCTTCACAGGTATCCACAATTTCCGTCTCTGAGCTTCGCGTACACGAGGGAGCTGTCGAGAGAAAACTTCTTGGAAGTGCTCTCGCTCCGGCTTCTGATGCGTCGGGTGGTGGCTTTTGTTCTGGATCCTCTTTCATGGCCAACAAGCCTCCCGGAACCGCAAATGGCCAAATAGCGGAAGAGTCAGCCGAAAAGAAATATATTTTTCCCCATAGCCATATTGGAAATAGATAACATCAGAAAAGCGTGAAACTTCTTCCCAATGATTCAAAGAACATATACATGATTCTAGCGGCTATGTACATTGATTAAAACAATATGAAAAATCAATGTTTTTTTTTCTGGAGACGAGAAGCAATAGTCGCCTGCCGAGTCCTGACTGGGAATCCTGGTGTGGAAGAGATCTAAAGAAACGGGACCATCTGCTCCCTGGAGTGAAACCCTCAAGCCTCGTGGTATACGTGGTATGGTGCTCATCTCAGACGGATCTTGTGCATTTAGGAAATTCAAAAAATTCAAGCGGCTTTCTGCATCCATGAAGAGGTCCAGGAAGTTGCTCTCAGACAGCTTCCTGGAGGTGAGCGTCTCTGGATACAAAGAAGGTGTGATCAAATCTGGGACCCCTGAAATGTCCATTTCATTAGCTCCACAACCGGAAATCCTGGGTTTGGAAACACTGTTGGATACGCCCGCATATTTGCATATTTCACTGTTGAGTCCCCAATGCATCCAAGTGCTGCTAGATACACTGAAATGACCTCAAACCAATATACCGACCATACCTTTTGTTCTCATTTTCAACAGAGATCTTGCTCGTATCAATCATGTTGAAGGTCGAACTAGTTTCTCGCATATGTACCTTGGTAAGCATGAGGTCCAGAGACACTCCAGAGACACACTGATTTCGTCATTTTCAGTAATCCAGTCATAAACCATTCCATTTTGAAGGGTGCCCAATCTCGTAACCTCTCCCAGCCCCGCGGAACCAAGGCTCTTCTTGGACTTCAACAGCCGCTCCAGGCAACTGGCATCATCCAGGATGGAACAGCTGCTTCGATCCAAGAGGAAATCTCCATCGCAGACTCCACGCAGGACGTGTCGAAATCCCAGCATCAAGGAGGATGCGCTGCCAGAATTTTGTCTGGCAGCGATGTTAGATCGAATGTTGTGGATAATGAGCACGAGGCTTATTGCCACCACAAAGTGACAGGTCAAAGTTGTGACAATGATAATGGAAGTGAGTTTCTCAAAGCCAATGAGGAACCAGAATCTGATGGTGAAGACTGCAGATTCGCAAATGTACAACGTCAAAACCACCTTCAAATCGATCAGAACAACAGCCAGAAGAAACAAGAACAGGACGCAGAGCTTTTCTTGACACAAAAATACCACCTGCAAGGCTTGATTCCCAATTTTTCAACGGGTTTGACACGGGGACACCCCGAACATGGGCATTACAAAGTATTCCCATATCTCCAATGAATCTCCAAGATCCCAACATATCCCACACATATCCCAAACCATCAACTCAAACTGCCAGCTTTCATACATTGGACAGATTCCAAACTGAATCACCAGTGAAAGAAGAATCGTTTCACATCCTTGTGAAGGTTCAAGGTGTTTCATTTCCAAACAACACCACCCCATAAAAACTATAGATAAAACTAGGAAACAACGATCACTTCTGGCCACGACACTTCTGAATTTTGGGAGAATCTTCAAATGAAGACACGAAAGAGACACAAAACAACACATGCATAAACATCCCGGCGGGTGGGAAACCGCGCTAGCGGTTAAGAACTTTTTGAAAAGAAACTCTCCTGGCGCTGTGGCGCCGTACACATTTTATGATGAACATTACCTTAAATTTTGCCGGTCAAAATTGAATGACTTTGAAGGAATGTCGTGGTATTTACAGGGTTTTGTGGTTGTGGCGGCCTGGAACCTTTTTTCTTGGTCTTCGGTGGCGTGTCACTTCTCCAAGCGTTTGCTCAGAGCTTTGCCTGTGAGACTAAGGAAATCAGTGGAATTTCCATGGTGCCATCGCCATTGCCAAACCCTTATTCCTTGAAGCAATTGAGGGTTCACAACACCATCTTTACGCGTGCTCCAAGAGGATGATACTGCACCTTTGGAAATCTTCCACATTCCATCGATGCCACCGGTGTGCACCAGCAAGTTTCCCCATTCCTTTTTCTTGGTGATGCAGAAGATGCCCTTACTATGATTGCAAGCTTCATGAAGCAGACTGGGTTCAGAGGTCAGTTTAGGGTAGCATGGGGCACCGTCTGTAGCAACCGCGCAGCATCCACGTATGCATGCAAGGTACATGAACGTTAATATCCCACCCCCCCCACCCCACCATGACCAGTGATTGATATGTAGCAAACGCGTAAGCATTTTCCACGTACGTACGCAAGGACATGAACGTTTTAATATTGAAAAAAAAACCCAAAAAAAAAACCAGGGACCAGTGACGTAGCAACAGCGTAGCATCCACGTATGTACGCAAGGTACATGAACGTTAATATCCCACCCCACCCCACCCAACCCATGACCAGTGACGTAGCAACAGCGTAGCATCCACGCATGTACGCAAGGTACATGAACGTTAACACCCCACACCACCCAACCCATGACCAGTGACGTAGCAACAGCGTAGCATCCACGTATGTACGCAAGGTACATGAACGTTAATATCCCACCACACCCCACCCAACCCATGACCAGTGACGTAGCAACAGCGTAGCATCCACGCATGTACGCAAGGTACATGAACGTTAACACCCCACACCACCCAACCCATGACCAGTGACGTAGCAACAGCGTAGCATCCACGTATGTACGCAAGGTACATGAACGTTAATATCCCACCACACCCCACCCAACCCATGACCAGTGACGTAGCAACAGCGTAGCATCCACGCATGTACGCAAGGTACATGAACGTTAACACCCCACACCACCCAACCCATGACCAGTGACGTAGCAACAGCGTAGCATCCACGTATGTACGCAAGGTACATGAACGTTAATATCCCACCCCACCCCACCCAACCCCTGACCAGTGACGTATCCCACCCCACCCCACCCCACCCCCATATTCAAAAAGTTGCACGACTACACGCGCGGTTTTCCACCCGCTAGCATAAACATGGCATAAACATGGCATAAACATATTATGTTGTCACGACCCAGGCACCAAATTCGTCTCCCAGGCAACGCCCATCGAATACATGAAATGAGTGCAGCTGAATGTGAATGTGACATATCGGAAATGACGACTCGTTGTCACGTTCCCTTCCGCAAAGACATGTCCAACATATCCGATCAATGAGGCTATCAACTCAAAGCAGGGTTGATAGGTTGGATGTTGCATCAGCCTCCAAACTGCTGTAACAGCAAACAGGAACGCCAATTGGATTCCAACTTTGTTGAAAAAGGTGAGCATGCGAAGCCGCGTTTGCAGCAACTGATCTTCAAAACGCCTCTGTTGATCAACTTGACGTTGAGGAATCAACATCTCCTGTGGTGCGATCATCTCCTTGAAATAGTCCAGTGCCACGAAGAGATCGGACATTGTAGAAACGGCATGCAAAATTGTAAATGACAGAATTCCAGTCCTCATTGTTTCGTTGGTTCCAAAGAAAACCCAAACCATAAAACATCATAAAACCTTCTTATGGAAGTAATGTCAAAGTAATGTGAAAGTAATGTGAAAGTACTTTGTACCAATGTACTAAACATATCCAAACATCCTGAACAAAAAATCAAGAAATGTGATTAAGTCAGGAACCAAAAATCACCGTGACACCGAGGTCAATAGCAGGCTGAAACATCGCAGTCGCCCGGCTTTTGCCGTTCCAACCGCTAAATCACTGCTACTGAGCTGCTACTGTACTGGCTGATGGCAGCGGCAAAATATCGGTCTTTAAGAAGGCCAGCCTCCTTTGGTGCCACATGAAACAAATGCTCTCCTTCACCAGCAAACAGCAAGATATAACAAGATACACACTGCAACCATATAAGCGGAAAATAATCCAAATAATTTCGCATCCTTTGCCACATGGTACTTCCTGAGCCACTCCTACGGGTATGTGCAAGAAACAAACACTGCAAACATTAGTTGGTTGGTGGTTGAACTATACACCAACCGATATCAATATGATCAATATAGTATAACTATATGATTTATACGATTTATATGAATATGTGTTTCTCTGTTTTAAAATTGTCTTTGCAAGAACATATACAATATTACCCGCAGAATCAGACGTTCGCCCATGCTCACATAATCTCCCATTTTTGCCACGGTTTTAACAGTTCTCTCATCCACATCCACAGGGATTCTCTCCATTTTTCCATCATTTTTACCATTGGCCATTGGTTCCATGATGTCGCATTTTTCCCACAATGTACCCTATACTAAATCAAAATCTGAAATATTACATTATTTTTCTTCCGTCATGTTACATCAGTACAGAAGGATGTGTATATATATATAATATGTATTTCTATGTGCGTGTATATCTATCTATATACATATATATATATATATCTGCCACCCCCTCAAACAATACGTATAAAGGTCTTACAATGGATATACCAGTAGTGCCGCGCAAGGCGGTGGCGGAAGTTTCAAAAATAGGAAACCTATAGGAGAGGTTGGTTGTTGTGAATCACGGATGGCAGAGCGAATCCACTGATGGACCGACAGGTGGTTGGAGTCGGAGTTGTGTTTTTTGGAATGGTTGCAATGGTTGCAATGGTCACCTTACCACAACTGCTGGATGTGGTGTGGTGTAGCGCAGTTGTAGCTGTAGTGTAGTGGAGCTGTCGCTGTAATGTAGTGTAATTAGGGCATTTGCAGGCGCAGTTGCAGTTGTAGTCGTGGTGTGGTGTAATTAGTGTAGTGTAATGCAGCGTAATGTCGAGTAGTGTTGTGTAGTGTAGTTTGGTATAGTGTAGTGTAGTCTAGTGTAAGGTAGTGTAGTTGTAGTTGTAGTGTAGTGCAGCCTAATTAGTGTAGTTGTAGTTGTAGTGTAGTGCACTGTAATTAGTGTAGTGTAGCGTAGTGAAATGTAGTGTAGTTTATTGTAGTGTAGTGTAGTGGTAGTTGCAGTTGTAGTTGCAGTTGCAGTGTAATGCAATGAAATCAGCGTAGCGTAGTGTTGTGTAATGTAGGGTGGTTGTAGTTGTAGTTGCGTTTGTAGTTGTAGTGTGCTGCAATGTAATTAGTGTAGTGTAGTGTAGTGTAGTTGTAATTGTAGTTGTAGTTGTGGTAGTAGTAGATGTTGTAGTTGTTTGTGTTAGTGTATTTAGATGTAATTAGTGTAGTGTAGTGTAATTAGTGTAGTGTACTGTAGCGTAGTATATTTGTATTTGTACTTGTAGTTGTAGCAGTAGTGTAGTGTAGTGTAGTAGTAGTAGTAGTAGTAGTAGTAGTAGTAGTTGTACTTGTTGTAGTTGTAATTGTCTATCTCTATCTCTATCTATCTATCTATCTATCTATCTATCTGCAAGTTTGAAAACGAAGCTATTCTGCGAGACAGCCTCAATTTATGAACTTGTCAACATCAAAAACGCAGCAATTCTGCGAGACTTCCTCAATTTTTGAACTTGACAACATCAAAAACGAAACAAGTCTGGGAGACTTCCTCATTTTTTGAAGTTGACAACATCAAAAACGAAGCAATTCTGGGAGACTTCCTTCAAAAATGGAAAGTTGAGTGCAGAGCTGACGGCCTCGTGCCAATGCGTTTTGCGATTTTTCCACTCCACCTGTCTAAAGTACTGCGCCTGCCACGAAGAAGTGATGCCAAGTCATACGAAGTGCTGCACCTGTCACGCAAAATCATCTTAGCAAACCTCAAGATCTGATGCTCCAAAGTGCAACCCCTCTCAGGCAATCAGCGCCCGGACCTCCTAACATCTCTGATGAACATGTCTCTTGTACTGCGCCTGCCACGGAAAATGCATCTTTGCAGATCCTCTTCAAATGTCCCACACCTGCAATCGTTTTTGGAAATGCCACAAAACCCTCACGTTTTGCTCACTTTTGACACGGTGCACAATCCCTTGCGCCTGCCACGCAAAACGGCATCTGAACGTCCAAAAGTGGTCCGAACGTGTGGTGTTTTTAACGTTTTGACTTCGAAATGTGCTTTGCGCCACCACGGCGTGCAATTTTTGGACATCTCAACTTCCAAACGTGGTCCAGACCTGGTGTTTTGTGCATTTTGACTTCGAAATGTGCTTCGCGCCAAAACGGCGTGCGCTGTTTCGACGTCTCAACTTCCAAAAGTGGTCCGAACCTGGTGTTTTTTGTGCATTTGGACTTCGAGATGTGCTTTGCGCCACAACGGCGTGCGCTTTTTTCGACATCTCATCTTCCAAAGGTGCTCCGACGTTGGTGTGTTTTGTACATTTTGACTTGGAACTGTGCTTCGCACCACAACGGCGTGCAATTCTTCATCTCGCATCTGGCCACATGGCTCCGCACCCGCCGCTTTAGCGAGCCTACTTTTCGACCCTCCGGAGCCACACATCATTGGAAAAACATAGTGTTTCACGACTTTCCTACCTTTTCGCGCACTTGGATCTTCTTTCTTCTGAGACTTTCTCTTTCTTCTTCTCTTCTCTTCTCTGACTCTTCCCGTCTATGCTTTTTATCTGTCCATACTGTCGGAAGTTTGACTTCTAAACTTCCTTTGATTATGTTTATTTTCTTCCATCATATTACATCATTACAGAAGAATCTAAATCTGCCACCTCTTCAAACAATACGTATAAAGGTCTTATAATTGTTATTTTCCATCTTATCCAAAATAAAAATAAAAGTGGTGCAAACTAGGGTCGCTTTCTGCAAGAAAACCTAGGATCCGGGAGAGTCGGACATTTGCGTCAAGATCCCTTCCACGACTTCGTGGAGGTCTGTTGAAAACTCGGGTCATTTTACACGAAAAAAATATAGGCTCCCGGGCAAACGTCCGGATCTGTGCGCAATATTATACAATATAATCATATATAATCATTACATTCCCCGCAGCAGTTTGAGGTCATTCCCAGGCCATTTTTGGATTCCTCCAAGCACCGCCATAACCTCCCTCCCTTGGCACGCCTTGGAGTGGGGAATGGACAGCCGCTCCAACACCTCCTTCCAATGTTCCAGCAACTCTTCTCGATGCTGCGGACCTGAAGCGGTGCATCAGCGCTTCAGCATCCATCTGAAAAGGGCTTGAGAAGTGGCTTGATATGTAGGTTTCCATAAAGGGAGGTACCCCAATAGCTGGATGGTTTACAATGGAAAATCCTTTGAAAATGGATGATATCATTTTGGCATATTTTGGCTATGTAATCCATTTTATTTCAACAATTCGACAAACGGACAAGCAGAAGTACGACTCAGTATGACAAATCCAAGTGCGACATCGCCGGTGCTGGGCGTGCTTTGCGTGCTGGGCTGCCGGACCATATGTCCCTAAAAGCTCCGTTGCTGCAGCGCTCAAGAGGGCATCGCCCACCAAACACTGCAGCCTTCTCTGAAGCTCCTGCAGGGACAAAAACTCTGAAGCTTTGGGGCAAAAAACTATTCAGATTCTATAGTTTCCTGATGTTTGCTGTTGACTTTTGTACTTTATGTTGACATTCGGCTTTCACAACCGCCGTGTCCTGCAGCTTCCAGCCCCAGCGGATGCGATCCTGTGCCACGAAAAGGACGAGAGGCTTACTCTCTGCATATGAAATCAAGACCAAATATTGAAATCGACTTGAAACCGAATTGAAACACCCAAGAGGTCTCCATGACGCACAGCAGGATCGACGGTTTTCTCACACCTGCCGCAGGCCATTGGTCATCATCCTTAGTTTCCATGTGGGAATCATCTTGGCATGGGTCAAAAAGTAGAAATGCCAGGAAACCTGGCTTTGTCTTGAACTTGGTTCAAAGAACCCATGAATCCTATGAGTGATCAATGGTTATCATCATTTTCCTCATTAAACTTGCGGTTTCAACATCAAAATAGCCGTTACTTGTGCCGAGGAACAAGGTGCGACTGCGTTTGCTGGTGGCGCTGGTACTCAAAACTTCAACCCGTTGCATCTCCTGTCTGGAGGAGATGTGCAGCACCAAAATGAATGGAATGGAATTTAAGTGGAATCTAGATTTGAATGGACTAGAATGGATTTGCATAGATTTCTGTGATATGATGGGGGTGTTCACCCTTTTCTCCTTGGGAATATCTGGTGATACCTGGGGAAGATTCCAGAGATATCAATCAATATACAATATATATGAGAAAACTTTTGGAACCAACAGGGCGAAAGGTGTGTAGTGTGTGATAGGTGAAAGAGAGAATGCAGAGCACAATTTCTCATTGGTTGATTTCTATCAGGATCGATTCACCACACTTTTCTCAAAGCGACGGTGCGATATTCATTACACGTAGTTCACAAGGATGAGACCGAAACAACATACATAGGCAATGATGAGGATAATCGTGGTGATAGTGATAGTGATCGTGGTGATGATGATGAAGAAGAAGAAGATGAAGGCCATGATGACAAAATAACCCCCCAAACTCAGAGCAAAGGACAAACCATGACCGCCATGACAAACCTAATTACCTGAGGAAAAAATCAGCCGCTGACGCCATGAGAGAATGGGGATTAAAAGCTGCCCACCTGCTCCAGTTCTTCGGCTTTAGCCTCACCAGGCTCCGTAATTTAGTGGCGGTAGTTGATTGGGATTAGTATAAAGATGTATTAAAACTGTATTGAGGTATAAACTTGTATAAAATCACATTGAACATATCAGGACACAACATGGATCCCTTTCACTCAACAGCAGCTGACGTGTCGAAACAAACTCAAGGAGTCCGCATCCATCATGCGGATTGTGGCTGTATTGGAATCACAGTCAGTTTAAGTTTGAATCCACCTGACAAATCTCAACAGCTGCATCGCCAGAGGATAACCCCACTTGAAAACCAATGGGAATTTCTCGTCAGGCTTCATGGATTTGACAGCAACCTCTGACAAACCTTTCTCCTGCCAGCTGCATAGCACATAGAGATGACTCGACGCGTTTGCGTGTCGTTTGAAGGCACCCCTTTGAGGGAAGCCATTGGAAGCCATTTCTGCAAATGAAGCAAGCAACTGCCCCAACTTTGCCACAACAGGTACCCATAAAACCATTGACAGGACAACTTCATTATTCAAGTCAATATAATTAACTTCTTGCTTCTACGTGTTTCTACATGTTGATGCCAGCAGCTTGCTTCCTGTTCGTCCTGTTCCAGTTGTTGGAACCAAACTCACTTAATTTCACACCGAGTGCTGGCAGTTGCATCTTGACCGAAGCTCTCCTCGCGTTGTAGCTGCTTTTCAAGTTGTCGTTTTTTCCCATGCTGGCATCGGTATTGAAGTTAACAACAAGCTTCACAGCTTCCGAACGGCGGACACAATTGCACAGTTGTCACTCTGGACATGCCCAAAATATCAAATGATTCTTTGCTACATCGTGAATTGGCTTTCAGCAATTGAGTCGAGAGGAAGACATCGGATGAACACATTTCAAGTGCCAAGGTAATAAAGTGATGATATCCGAACTCATCTCTGACATGCAGTCCATGCAGGGTTTTTTGAACCATGCATCAATCCGGAGAAACAAGTACGATAACACAGGCACCGCAGACCCAGAAACATCTTTGATATGCCCTATGACATGTTTGCAAGTTATCTTGCATGGGCTTCTTTTGAGAATCCACACTGTTCACCAACAGCCTGTTGCAATCTCTGCCGTGCTGAAAGTCAACTCAACTGTAAAAACAGTCAGTGGCCCCGGGCAACTCCAGTGCCCAAAGCGTTATTTCAAGACATTTCATGCTATTTCTTCTTGTAGTTCTCCAAGACATTGAACCTAAGCTGCTCGAAGCTACAAGCATCAGGGACACTAGGGATCTAACTTTGCACTGGTCCTTGCTGATCATTCTCCAAACAAAGCGCTTTCACCCAATAGGATGTCTCACATACGTTTCACATCATCCTTCACATGAAGAGTTATACTGGCTTCAAGTCTCTTATAATATATGCATATTATACAATTATATATGTACATATATATATATAATATACGCATGTTATAGAGAGAGAGAGACATGCCATCTGTCACTACATGCAGTTCCGTCTGCGGACATAGGTCGATATTTCCAGGACCTCCAAGTCGTGTCGCAGCTACAAGGTTCAACTTGGAGCAATATTAATATCACTCGGAATTGAATGCAATGAGGGTGATCACTGTCATTGTACAATTTGTACTTTGTTCTTTTTAGTTTTCAAATGTTTTCATTATATATATATAGTATTATATCTATATATAGCCAATTTTGTCTTTCCATACAGTTGTGCCATCTCCGGCCATCTCTGGGGTGCCCAACTCATCCAGTGCGATTTCTCCATCGTCGGAGCCGTCCAGCAGAGCAAAGACCACCCGCGCGGGTCCGAAGTACCCGGCCGCCTGCACGGCCTCGTCAGCGGCGGCGACTGATGGCTGGTGATGGCTATGGCTGGTGGCTGGGTCGTCTTGTGGGGAACAGGTGGGAACTAAGACTAAGATATACTAAGATACAGTCAGATCTGAGAAATAGCAGTGAACTATCATTCACATGATGAATGACAGTGAACATCAGTGAACTATATTGCTTTGAATCTTTGAACGTGTTTGTTCCGGTACGCCAGAATGGTGCAGTGCCATGGAGCCATCCCTACAGAAAAACATGACATCTTTTAAGAGATGCCAGCATGATCCGCAAAATACATGTACATGTGATTGCCTAGACGTTTCCTTCATCATTTCCTTCATCATTTCCTTCATCATTTCCTTCATAAATCATATAAATCCATCCGTCCTGTCTTTTCCCTGCCACAGACATCACCCGGCCACCATCCGTTCCTCGTTAAACTCCTCTTCGGTGAGGCTACCACTACCATCTTCGTCTAGCACCTGCCACGCGTCCTCGCGAGAGTTTTACAAAACTCTGCACGATTCTCACGTCCATAGCTTTGGCTTGGCATATCAACAAGTCATGTAGCTTCCAAATTTTCCATGCGGTGAACGAAGGTATTGCAACTTGCAACTGTTCCAAAATATGCTACATTATGCCATCATTATGCCCATGACCAGCTTTGGTCCTGGAGGTTCTCGCCGAAAGCAAAGGTTAAAAATTGGACGAACTCCCTCACTGTAAGGTCCTTTCGACAACAGAAACGACTCACAGCAACTCTGTCGTCAAGTTATCCAAGTTATCCAAGTTGGCCAAGGCACAAACTCTTGCCAAAGTTGGTCAAGGACCGACCACTCCTGTCATTGGCAAAAGGAGTATTCATTGATCTATTATGATCTATTATGATCTATTGAACATTTCAATGACATGTTGTGGTATGGTTCCAAATTGGCAACCAAGAGAATTTGATGCTCTGAACCAAGATGTTCTCAAAACATCTCAAAACCATCCAAAAGCTTTGGTTTCCCGAGTTAAGTGCATCTATCTGCATCTTGAATTTTGCGATGGTGAAGCAAACCCATCGCCTTTAAGGAGACTGTCCCTTCACCACCAGGATCCAGGTATCGAAAGACTGCAGCGATCCGTGCCTCGAAGCGAGAACCATTTTTTCGTGTAAAGAACTGGGATCCTATGGGATCCTATGGGATCCTATGGGATCCTTGTGGACAAAGACAAAGAAATTGGGGATGTCAATGTAGTGACTGTAGTGGGGATGTAGTGGGGATGTTATGGGAGTCTTGCTGGGAAACCATCTGAATTTTGGAAGCCATAGATGAAATTCTGTCCAGCTTTGCCTGCTCATCAGGTCCGGCAAATTTCTGACCTCGGTGGCTGCATGGATGGGAGAGCACAGCGAACCCCGCTTTTCTAGCGTTAGAGACTGTAGAGATACTTGATTGCATTACTATCATTCACTATCCAAAACATTGCAAAACCCTCGCGTTGCTTTCGGATACTACAACATCAGCGATCCAGATACTCCGAAGCTTCCCAAAGCTTTTAAAATTCAGCACACACTATTTTCATGACCGAAGGTGTTTTACTTCACTCTCTCTGAGGGCCCCTGCAACCCATGCTGCTGAGACCTCTCTCGAACTCTCGCAGTGTCAGCCTCATGCGACCGTTCGCGGTCGATCTGTGCAAACATCAGCATTTCCACAGACTCTCCAACAGTACATTTGAGATCGTCGGGCATTTCAGCCAACATATAGAAAAGTAAACCCAAGTAACCACGTAACATATTCATAAACGTCATCTAACCTCATCTGATATCATACAACATCATCTAGCATCAATTTCCCAACAGTTTCCCACATCTGACATCGCCCAGTGACTCCGAGTTCGAGGTGCATCCAGGCTCACCGCCATCGATGATATTGAAGGCCTCATCCATGTCCTTCACCTGTTCCAAGATTCCCATGATGTATCATATCAAAATCATCTATTTTGATATATTATAATATATCATGATATCATATATCTATCCATGATATCCATGTAATGTACATGCACATGATCTAACATATGCACTGTACGTATATCGTCTATTTGGGTATCTCTATATGGGGAAGTTCTGAGTCTGGTCAGTCGCCCAGTAACCCGACTCAGGAAGAACTCCAACAGATCCAGCACGTCTTGGGGCGGCTCGTTCAATCCGGTCAACCAATTCACATCCTCAGCCAAGATATGCAAAGATGGACATTCTTCACATTCTTCACATTCTTTACATTCTTCACTTGATTCAATTGCTGTCATGGTATCACTGTATCACTGTATCGCTTTTGAAAAGGTGGTGCCGAGTGACACTGTCATTGACGTCCCGGGGGAAATAGCTGTATTTCCTCGGCAGTGAAATGTGAACACCCCAGATCTGACAGCTCCATGAGAAAACAGAAGGATTCCATATGGCAAATCGGCAAATCAAGTAAAGTCAAGGAAACACATGGAAACACATCGACCATTTGGTGTATGGTGAAATTGGTGAAACTTCATCAAAACTGATGAACAACTCATTTGACCAAGTGGCTGGGCCAATCCTTTCCGCCAGGCAACATTGCGATCATCTGCAGAACAGACCTGCACGTCAGTGAAAACTTCATGGACCTTCTCATTTCATTCACTCTTGACTTTGTCCAATGTGGATCCAAACATGAATACCATCTATAAAGATCAATATATACAATCACATAGAATCATATGTATATATATATATATTGAATAAACAATAAAGACATAAATAAATAAACAAATAATAAATCAAAAAACAAATAAAATAATAAATGAACAAATAAAATCTATAAGTATATAAAAAACAACTACCTAACTAACTAACTAACTAAATAAATAAATTAATTACAATTACACCCACAAACACTCACATTATCTTCAAATTTGCCTCCAGTTCCCAGTGGTGATTTCAGTCCAAGGGACGTAGCGGCACTTGAAGACGCCACTGGTAGGTGTCGCCGTTTCCCAACTTCGGGGGATGCCCATGGGGAAATCGTCTAAGGTCCCATCTTCCTTCTGCCACACCGCATCCCTCGGATTGCAAGGTTTTTTCGAAGAAACAAAGGTCTTCACTTCACAGTGATCAAGTTTTAATTAAGAATCGTTCCCTAGATCTTTCAAGAGATCGAGAAATGTCGAAATTTCGACTTAAAATTCAAACCGCACTCGTCACGTTCCCTGTCGGGGTCGCCTGATGTTGCTGGACTTCTCCCGAGCAGCCAGTGAGACCAACATTTTCGTCACAATCTGATGGTCATTGAGACTCAGATCCTCAGTCAGCTTCCGTCATGAAAATCCTAAGATATCATAAGATATTTGTAATGATTACATTGTAATGGTCATGATACGTCATGATATATATATAATTATATATATATATAGTATATTTAATGATATCCATACTGGCCACAATTTGACAATCTAAAAATCCTCGACATTTTCCTTGAGGTCCATGCAGATATAGATACTTGCGTGACATTGTTGGTATCTGTTGACACCGACCCCCCCTTTGCGTAGTTGAACATGGATGAAGCTCAACGCTTCATCCATTCCTCCCTCATTTGCAGCAAAAATGCATGCGCTGGCATGCACATGACTTAAATGCAATTACTCCCCTTTGAACTTCTTGATTCCTCACGTCTCTGGCAAAAAAAACACACATGCTATGAGTCAAACAGCATCAAACAAATCAAAACACATAATCCATCCTTATCATCGTCCTGAGCATTTCAATATATTTCAACTACATTTCCAGCCAGCAACGAGTTGAAATTTGGCGTTTTCGGGCTGGAAGAAGGGAAAGAAATAGGCCATGCCCAGTCGATACTGAAGACGGGCCAGTTCCTCCTCCTTCGAACATGAAAAACCGCCAGGTGGAATGCCAATGGTGACATGGTAACAGCCAGATCTGTAGTTGATCTGTAGGATCTCAACGACCAGTCACAGTTGCACCTTGCCAAAGCGCACGTAGCAAAGCTTCATGTTTTGCACATCAATGATTCCTTGGCAAAGAGAGCCGTTCAACCCTTGCTGTTTCTCCTCCCCGCATCTCTTGGGTCACCGGACGTGTGTAGTACATCACGAATGCTTCCTGGCTCTCACAAAGAATCGACCATCAAAGAGTTGGCTTAGCAGCTAAGTCTTGAAGATCTGAACATCACCACTCCCCATAGTCTGCAATTTGGCTCTGAGACCATGGTATTTCCCGGTCCTGTCGATGTTCGGACACTTGGAAGAAACCCATCATCTGCCGCATATGCTTGGCCTTGGGCGTCTTCGAAATCCCTGCAAGAACGAATGCTGTATGGTGTGTTTTTCTTGTTCTTTCGATCAATCTAGTACTGGCGCAGAAGATTAAGACATATGGACATGAAAACTCTGCTTAAGCTTTCATCAAGGGAAGGTCTAAGTGAGATGGCTCTCAGCTTTATTGAACGCGGATCATCAATAAGTAAAAACAAATAAACAAAAACCCTTTGAAGGTACCCTCCTGGAATTCGATAGAAGCCAATCAACGTCCAGCTGAAGCATCTGCGGAGTGTGGGGTCCCTGCACCGCCTGCACCCAGCCAACAAATTTGTTTACCCGTGGATCTGCCGTCTGCAGCATCCGTTGAGATTTGATTCAGTTCAGTGGCGGTGATATAGATCTCGTGGCTGATAGCACGTAGCACCTTCAAGCGCTCCTGAAGAGTCAGATGAAAGGCGGGAAGCAACTGGATGGAACAACTGGAAAAACCTGCACCGTGTGGATGATTTCATATGCTTTGCATGATTTATCAACACAAACTACCACTGGGACAACTGGGACGACGATGCTTGGTGACCCCTTGCCTCATCTGTGCATTGAGACTTGTGAAGGTTCACCTAGGTTGCACTGAAATGGAGCAACATGGAGCAACCCAAAGCATTGATACTGGACTGAATACACACATATACATATACATGTATATATATATACAAACATATACATGTATATATGTATATATATGCATATATATATATATTAATACATATACATATTAGCTTGTTGATTTTTTTGACCGGAAGTCTCAAGCTTAAAATATCCCTTCCAAACGTATCTTCAGAAGATGTGTGCCGAGCAAAGGTCTGCAGATGTGGGACCTATTGGTCTTCATCTTTGGATAGTCACTGATAGTCCCACTGTCTGAGTGTCCCGGCCATCAATCTTTCCCACAGCTCATCTGTCACTGCTTTGGCTGTGGCAGATGGTCGCCTGGAACTCACGTAGTCCAGCTCAAACTCATCTGCCTCAAGTGAACCATTCTGAACCAGTGCTGCAAGAGTCCCGCTTAGAAGTCGTACAGTCCCATGCACATCTTGTGGTCTATATGTGGTCTATAGATGTCTATAGTATGAGCATTAGTATGAGCTGTATATGCAATGCTCCAGGTGAGTTTGTTCATGTGTTGGAATCCAATGGTCCCAATGGTCCAACTTGATTCACGACTCGTTTCAACCCCGCCTCGGGCAGAGTCCACTCTGCCACGGAGCCACTGCGCAGTGGCTGCCCCGCATGGAGCTCGTTGCGGAAGTGCGAAGCGTTCCTTGGCACAGATGAAATGGATTGAAATGGGTAGAATCCTTGTTCCTAAAAAATGAGTAGAACATTGAACCATTTTTGTGCTGAATCCACCCAAAAATGACAGATTTTTGTGAAATTTCGTGATATCTAAAAATTAGGTGGATCATTGTGGATCCCAAGATCTGAAAGTGACACCCATACCCGTACCCATAGGGGACAAAAAATACCCGGAACATGATTCCTCAAAGGTTACTCAATGGTTTTTAATGAACAAAAACCATCAAAAAAAAAACAAAAAACCCTGAGATGCCCTGAGTCACAGCAAGTGGCCCTCGGGAGGAGATGTCCACACGACCCTTGCGCTTGTTGATCACCGACTCCCAGCGATCCAAGAGCAAGAGACCTTGCGGGACATGGCAACCAAACAGGAAGCCTAAAAAAAACATGTCTAGTCTGTCTAGTCAAACAGGAACACTGAAAAATGAACAAAAAACACTAGTGCCAATAGTAAACTAGTATGAATTAGTGTCAACTAGTCAAAAGATCTGAGGAAAATCCTTACTCTGAGGCTTCCACGCTGTGCCACGGCAAACTGCGAGGTATTGTTGAGTTCCAATTTGTAATGCCTAGAGGCAAAACCAGTGCTGATAGCAACTGATATGAAGCGCCAAAGAGGTCAAAGTTGCGAGTCAGAACATTTTGATGCGGACATATCGTGACAAATCCACATATGACTGCCAGTCTTCAAATCCGAGCTGCCCAGTGGGATTCGAGACGTTGAAGAGCCTAAGCACGGGATTCATTGATTCTAATCGTTCTAAGCCATGGACGGTATACATTGAAAAACACTCAAACAACTGATTATAGTACTGAATATAGTGATTATGGATGATTATGGTACAATTAGTACAATATAGGTACAATATAGTCAATATAGATCAATAATTATATAGTCAATATAGTACACGATCATAGTGCCAGGTGTTCCAGTTTTTTAAGCGGTGAAATCCGAGGTGCAAAAAACACTCCATGGCTTGATAGGTCGTCACAAAGGCGGGCAAGGTTTGCAATGTCTGCAGCAGCAAATATCGCGAACCTGGCGACAGAACAAGAAGCATCCCAAAAATGCATAAAAATGCCCTAAAAATGCCAACGTGCAACGCTCCCAAAAATCGATTCTATCATATTCCATCAGCTTTTCAGCTAAGAATTTACAAGTTGACACAGACTCAGAGACTTGACACAAACTTCAAAGGGACGTCTGATGGACATCTGATGGACGTCTGATGGACGTCTGGTGTTTCTGTTCCCTTTCCGTTGCCAACCGTTGCCTCCATCCTCTGCCGTGCAGGGGAGCATGGCATTGATCACGTCCGCTTCCATGGATGGCGCAGCTTTGCACAAATATTGCACCTCGTCGGAGCAAGGTCTGTCAATCGTTACCGTCGTTACCGTATATTTGTGATATTTGTAACGTCTGCGACCTTTAAATGTAGTTCAAAGTAGTTTAAAGTCAATTCTTGGATCGTGTTGGTGGGATAACCAACCTTTGTCCCCGTCAAAGTATCCGTGATTCGATGTATCGATGCCAATTGGATTGCACCAAACTTCCAGCGCGAGCAGCATAGGCCACACTCATGTTAAAGTCTTTGGCCAAGGCTTGGATGAACACCTCTTGATCCAGAGATCTCCTGAGTGCCAAAATTTGAAAAACACAGTTTTGGGGCAAATTGATTGAAAAAAACATGTCCTGTTCATCTCCTTTGCCTTTGACATCTTTGACTCTTTTTCTTCGATTTCCTCCCATTTGTCTCCAAGTTTCCCATTGAGCTCTGCCCATTTGTTGCACAGCGGCACCACTTTGTTCAAGCTGGGCTTGAATCGCGTAAACTCGAAATGTTTCCTGAGCTTAGAGGAACATCAACTGAACTAGCTGGCAATCAATATGCTATAAATTACTATATAAGTTAAAACTCTATATAATTATATACATATACTCTGATCTGTAGAGCATATGCCAGTGATATGAATATTCACCATATCATGAGATAGATATACAATATATTTAAAAAAACAATTTTCGCATATTCCTGTTAGCATTAGCCTCTGGTTTCCAGCCACCATGATCCCTGCAAAGTATCTGCAGAAAACCCACAAAGTCGTCTTCCTCCAGGCTGCTCCATTTGGCCTGCAGCCAAGGAGATTTTCGGCATCCGATTGGGGAAATCCTCGTTCGACATCCAGAACGCTCACCGGTCACCGGATGTCACCGGATGCCACCGGATGTCACCGGATCCTGGAAAATCTGGAAACAGATCATCTCCAAAGTCAAAACAGATCTGTTAGATCTGCAGAATATCCCCAGAACTGGCTGGGGAACCGAGGACCTCAATCTGACTCTCCAAGCTGAAGTTGAAGGAGAGATCTCCAGCTGTTGGCGCTTGCCAAATCTTCGTGGTCGCATTCCTTGGCAGCGGCGTGGAGGATTCCAAGATCTGGGAACGCTATGAAGTTTGGTCATTTTGCAATGATTTCAAGCCCAAGATTGGCCAGAACATGCTAGAATTTGATGCTAGATTCTGCTAGATTTTACAACATCCTGCAAGTGGCAAATCAAAATAATCAAATGACATGAAATGAATCCAATTCAACGTCTTAGCTCCAACGAGACCCAAAACATCCCTTGATCTTGATCCATCCCTTGACGGCTTGACGGCTTGACGAGACACTTGCTGACTGAAAGTCGCTCAGGAAGTGAGTAGTTCAAATCGCTCATGCATCTCTCCCATGGAACCTGTGCAGATTGTGCAGATTGTGCAGGTTGCCCTCTGAAAATGCTGACAATATGCTGACTTTTGACCCGCTTTGACCCACTTTGAAGTCAGAATGCGCCTTGTAACGTTCGGCCGTTTTGCACAACATCCGAAGCATGGCTCGATGATATGGTCGCGCCAGCTGCAGCTTGTAGCGGCCACCTGTGGAGCATCCCATCGCAGTGCCGCAGAATCATCAGAACTACATTAATCATGGTATTATTGGTTGGTTTATTGGGGTGCATTACACTTAGGGTGGTGTGTGAATTCATGAATCATCAATCATTATCCCGACTTTCCTCAATAGATCATCAATAAACCATAATAAACCAGAATAAACCAATATAAACCACTATAACCACCAATCAACAGGGGTGCACTTTGGAGGGCTCACATGACCCAATACCACCATATCCCACCTGGGTTGGTGAAGGAGAAGGTTTGACATGCCGCGTCTCCCACATCTTCTTCCATATCAGGTCCTCCTGTGAAGCAGCCTTCGGCATCGAAGTGCCTCGACAATTCATGGAACACGTTGACAGGAGACACATGGGGATGGGCTAAATCCTTTGGTACAATTATTACTACATATTACTACCATTTTGGGGGAGAGGAACTACCAATCTATTTTACTGTTCAATGGTGTTACTAAGAGCTAGTTTGGTGTCTACCAGGGTACCCGGGCTTTGACTACCTGTATGGCTGAAGATCACAAGTCGACATCGCCAGTATCGCATAAGGTCTTTGAGTAGACTTATTGCTTTTCCATGCTTTTCCCGGAGATTCATCTGCACACTGATCACACTGCACACTGCTGATCTCTCCTGAGACCCCCCCCCTCACAACAAAGATGTGTTCTCTGTCTACACTCAAGCCGATTGAGTACTCGAGAAACTTGCTGCCCAGGGCCAAAACTACCAGAAATAGAAACAAAATGAAACACATCTAAACAAAGAGTCAATTCAAATGGTTTCAAACAATGATTCTCTTTGTCAAGGGAGCCTGAGATGATCTCAGATATTCGTTTTGCACATTTTTGCCAGTTAATATACAGTATATATACAGTATATCGACCTCAGAACATCGGTCTCTGCACCGTCGCCGTGGCCTGATGTCGTTGTCCTTCCGTGCCATGAGGCGCAGGATGCTACGAAGACCCAGAATGCCCAGAGGATTCCTGGGCACTCGGTGGACTCGGTATGACTCGGTGAATGTTGGAATATCCTGGAATCCTCCAGCAGTTAATCTTCTTATGTCTACAGAATTAGAAATGTTCCAAGGTGTTGGGATGATTGAGATGTTCGCCATGTTTTCTAGTTGACTTCAAGATTGCCACACATTGCCGCCCTGCGACCATTCCCGTCTGGAAAATTGAGATGTGCATTGATCCAACCAGGCAGTTAGGACGCTGTTGTAGGCCCAAGTATCTGTGAGATGTTGATATTCCGCATGCACGAATGATTCTCCAGAGCATCTTCCAAAACCAAGGCTGGCTTGAAGTCAATTCCTCAGGGAATCTCAGAATCTGGCCAAGTAGTGGATACAAATTCGACGGGAACTGACAAGGTTGGAATGTTGGAACCGACACACAGTATCACGCAGTAACATGCGAAACTGCTTGGACCTGGTCGGTAAAACATAGTAAAACTCTGGAAAGGCTCCAGTTCTGTCGTGTTCCAATTTAGATAATTTAGGGAAGAAATGGGAAGAACATGGACAAATTGAAGACATACCTTCACATCTTTACAGCCTTTAATCATGTCCGACCATGTCAAACTTCCAGTGGGGGGTTCGGACGCTGGGGATATATGGGGATCCAGGACTGAGACCCTGAGACCCGGCCCACTTGGCCCACTTGGCCCACTTGGCCCAGGCGGCGGTTGGCTGCGATGCTCAAAAACGTCAAGGAGGTGTTGTATGCCAATGCCTCCAGCAGCCTTGGATCAAAGCGTCGAAAACTTGCACTGCACCTGATGTTTTCGCCCAAAGGATTGATTAAAATTGATTAAATTGATCTCATAAAATGTTGGTGGGGATTTCTAGCCACGAATCACCGCGATCGAGAGAAGTTCAACTAGGGTCAACCATCAGAGGTGGTACCATGGTGCCTTCTTGTACTTCTTGTACTTCTTGTACTTCTTGTCTCTTGCCAAGTGGCTCAGAAATGGAGCAATCGAAATTTCCCACTGTTGTGGATGTGCTGTCCAAGTAGAGCTTCTTCAGCTTTGAACCCCTCGGGATGTGCAGAACGTGTGGAAAACATGCTCCAAAAAGATCAAAAAAGGGGAGGGCATTCTTCAAAGGGCACTCTGCAGGGCCTGTAGTGAAGTTGTCAGCATAGGGTAAAAATGGGTGAACTCTGATGTAAAAAGATGTAAAGAACATGTGAACGGATGTGAAAAGTACAACACCGAGCTGACAGGCGATGACCTGCGTGCGACACATGCGACACATCGGAAATCGAAGACGAGGCACCCTGGTTTTGTCTGCATCAGCTGCTTCCCCATCTGCTGAAAATCTTCGCCATCAAAGCAATTCCAACTCAAGTCCTCAAGATGTGGATGTAACACCCCAGGAACTCGACCGACAAAACGTCAGCGTCCCAAGAACGAAACTATAGATGCTGTTGGATGATTGCAGTCGTCATGATTTTTATCAATATTTCTCAATGATCTTGGTTTCAACATGTTCCAACATGTTCCAACACTTCTGCAGACGCTGAGTAAACTTCCAAGGATCCAAAGATGTGAAACTCACAGAGCCGACCAAGCGACCTGAAACAAGGGAATTATCAGAAAATGCGCACCATGCACCGCGATGCACATGTTGTATTTCGAACCTTCTTCCGCATTTAGGCCTGAAACCATGTCTAATTACCATGCATTTAGGCCTGAAACCATGTCTAATTACCATGTTCATCCATGTTCATACTTAGTATTACTTGTTGGTTTTGTTCAGGTAATGGAGGAACACCAATTCTCTGCTGAATCGGATAAACTGGATGTCTGATGCTAAATTAAGACCAAGCAACGTGCACATTCGGCGGTGCAAAATGTACCTATGACAGCATTGAAGCGGAGAGAACGACATGCTGACATGCATTTTTTTGTTTAGAGAACATTCCGTTGGCACTTGGGGACTTGCAAACAAAGGACAGGCCATACATGTGACATGTGACACATCTATGCTAGTCTATACATATCTTCTCATATCGAAATCTTCAATTTCAGCATCTCCAGTGCAATTTCAGGTTCGATGCCTCCTAAACCGACACCCGCCAGGGCAACGGTTTCCAGTGTTTGGTGACTTCCCAAACCTCATCAGAATTGCCACTGCCGCAGGCTTCACCGAAAGATGTCGGAGGTGCCGTGTTCGACTAAGCTTCCAACCCATGCAGAGAGGAAGCTGCAATTTCACTGCAAGCTGCAAACCACTCATGTCCTGAGCTTGACAAAATCACCAGAAAGATAAGATCGAGAGATAAGAAAGATCTCTTTGCACTTCGAAGTTTGGCACATTCAATTAACGTCGAAATTTCATTGAACAATACGCTTTCCATCATAGTAGTCAACGATTTTTCTCCCCTTAATCTCCGACTTCACAAGAGAACCAAGTAAGGTCGGTCTAAAGACCGACTGAAACTGCAGAAACAGTGAATCACTGTGATCGATTGTGGTGTCTTGGGGTCGCCCCATACAATGCTCTCAAGAATGAACTCTTGCGAGATACCACGTGTCTCAGGTTCATCGCCACAGACAAAAGCCTCAGAATGTCAATGTTTATGGATGTTTACGGGAGGCTGGATGGCCCTTTGCAATGCGTCGTGAGACTCAAAACCAAGACCCGTGACAGCTTGAATCCTGCAAATGAGAGGTGACCACAACCATCAGGACATTTTTTGCACACAACCACAAACTAGATGTACTAATAATCTAATAATCTAATACAATCCTTCTGCCAAAATAAGCCAAGTTATGCAGCACAAGGTGACTCTGCGAAGAGCAAAATCACCCGCAAAATTCCAGCCGCTGCCGTGACCCGGTCATCGATGATGCGCCGCCAAGCAGCTCTACACACATTTCCAGGGTGTTCACACCAGCGCGGCAGTGCCGCAAGTTGATGGTCCGCAACGAATCCTGAGACTCTGTAGCTTCAGCGATATCAAAACATATCAAAACATATCAAAACATAAGAATTGCATAGAATTGCTATCCTGGGGAATCTCGGCCAAAACATGTCAAAACCGAATCAAATGTGGCTGACGTGACGTCGTGCTGTCAAATGTCTCTCATGTGAGGTGCACGGAGCTTCTGGAACAAAGGTGCGAGCGACTGATCTGTGACCTTTCGGAACGCCGAGGCGAACAGGACGCGTCATGTGAAGAAACTCATTTCGGCTGTGCTTGGGGAGAATTCACATGTCCAGATATTTCCTACATCTGGCCTTTTATTGACAAGCTTGCCAATAACTTGCAATCCACAACACTCTTTCATCGCTTTCAAAATCTTGTAAACAGCCACTTTCAAAGCTCAACAGTTGCATTACTGGCTAATTTACAAGGCAGATGTTGAAAGATGTTGCAAGACATCACCACAATCCAAATCTGCAGAAGGCATTCTCACGTTCACCGAGTTACAAGGCGGTTGTTCTCCTTAGTTGCAACAGCTCCAGCTGTTTGTTCTCAACTTGCCCATAAGATGGCACAGTCTTTCGGCCTCTGAATTCCATTTCAACATATTTCAACCATTAGATGATAGGCCTCTCGTGAAAGTTAAAATCCCGCAGAATCATGGGGGTGGCAAATTCAAACACGACTCTTGAGGATGATACAGCAACATACAGCAACATACCCCCAACAATTGGGATTGACCCAACTGGGGGTTCAAGATCCATAAGTCTGTATCATGCTATCAATGATCTACCAATGATCTAGCAGTGATCTAGCAATGATCTATCAATGATCTATCAGTGCCATATGATGCTATATGGTGATATATCCCCATGTTCAATGGTCCAAGGTGCCATGTTCACTTCTTCCACGCGACCGTCTGTGACGATATCCACCAAGGCCATCATCTGTGCCTGTCCAGTTTGCAGTACATCACCATCTGATTACTCTGATTTGGACCTGACAAACAGAAGCCATAGAATGCCATAGAATCTCGTAATACACAAAGGCTTCAAACGCTTCAATGACATCCTTCGTCCAATTTGCGACAAGGCGACACCATGCGACACCTTAAATTGGCCCGCCTCCAACATATCTCGCCCATCAAGCTTTGATGACCTCGAGCTGGGGAGCGAGGACGAGGATCTCCAAGGTATTTTTTCAAAAATTGCGGTGAAACATGTGAAACTTTTCATAAATTGACCACAACACATCTGACATCATCTGACCTTCCCTTTCGCATGTGGTGATCAAAGCGACATGCTGTCTACACCAGCAGAGTGGCGGATTGTAGTCTAAGTTGCCAAATCAGCGTCAATGCTATGTATACGTAGATTCACATGGGAAATGCTCCAAGTGCAAATCAACACCCGTCTCATTCATCTGCTGTCAAGACACTGGCCCTCCAAGAAGGAAAGGGGCACAGGCACCGCCCGTTGCGTTCGACCTTGCGGCACGTGCAACGAAATCATGTCAAACGGGTAACCGTAAAAAAATGAATGCTGATACTGAAAATCTTCGAAATCTGCTGTTCTTGGCATCTCGAATGTGTACCTATATATTCCCAACTGTCTAACACCTTTGGAAAGCCTTTTGAGTGAAATGCAATGCCTTGCAATGCAAGCAAGGTGCAAGTAGTCACATAGCGGTCCTCTAGTGATGGCGGCTTTCCTGGCATGCTCAAAGTGATCATCACAGAACCACAGGTTTGACAGGATCCACAGGTGGGAATATGAGAGCAAGACAGATTCATCTTCAGTGTGATATGGGAACACAGCAAAAACGCACATGCCAAGATACCAGGAAGAGCAACATCTGGTGGTTCTCGCCACTCCTGAGAAGCAACTCGCCGTTTTATTGAAGGATCTGAATTCGCACCCAGTGTATTGACACTGTCTGCAGTGCAAAACCTTTTGCACCTAGAATGTTGATGAATGTTGAATCTACATGAATCTACAGCATCATCATAACTTTGGTCAACAGAGCAAGACAAGTCCCCGAAAGCCCCAGAAAGTCCCAGCCTGAGCCACCCTGGTGGCGCTAAAGAACTTGGAGGATGTGCTGCGATGGAAGTTTTTGCTTTCCTCACAACGTTGTGGGTCTACATTCAACATCATTCAACATTGTTCAACTCAACATCCAACATCATCCATTGAATCATCCATTGAATCATCCATTGAATCCTCCATCTATTCTATTCTGTGGTTTCCCTTTAAAGCACACAGCTGCCACAGGGTTTCCACCGTTTTCAGCCCTGCCTGGCTGCGCGACCAACGCAAGGGTGCCTCTGCACGCCAGCTGGCTTCGGGCCTCGGAAATGGATGGACATGGTGGGATGGTGGGATGCTCGTGTTCTGTAGCTGGAAATTCATGGAGTCTGATGAGATTGAATTTTCCAAAGCCACCCTGCAATTGCCACAGCAACCAAGGTGCACTTGCAGAGTGGTCAAGGATTGAGACTTGGAGACTGAGCTCCTTAGGTCACGTCAAAGCCTGTCCTACGTGGACCCTGGAAACTCAGGCCTTCAGGCCTTCACCTTTGAGTCACGGTCTGCGCACTGCGCAAGAAAACATGCAAAAACGCAAACACAAAAAACACAAGACACACTCACTCAACACACTCAGCGATGTGAGATTTCCGTGATCTAATCGCTCCAAGGGGCGAGGTGGCGGGCTTCTGTTCCTTCGCCCATCCTGGGAGTTTCTTGTACTGCACCTGGGTGTCACAACAGTAACTTGTAAAACAAATACAAAAGGCTAAGAAAAAAAAAGTTGCAGCAGTTGTTGCAATCTGTTGCCTTGACATTACCCTCAAATCATTTGTTTGTCGTAATGCGCCATGTTCCAAGCCGGGACTACCGTGTTTGGAATTTCAGGGCATGCCAAGTTTCAGCTCTGTTTAGAGAAATACACATCACTCGCATCACACAAGGGTGAACGCACCGAACAGATCCAAACAGCATCAGGAAAGCCTAGTACAGCTCCAGCCATGGCACAGGCAATGGCTTCTGCTCACTCAGCTGCTCTGATGTCACCTGGGTGAGAAGAATTTTGTGTGATATCACATTGGGCGTTAGTTGAGCTGGGAGAAACATATGGAGACCGACCATTTATCACCTGGCAAGGAGTGTATCTCTCTGTCACGAAAATGACCATGCGAAAGATGCTGAGTGATACTGAGTCAGCTGCGTCAATCATCAACGCAGATACCCTGCAGTTTGGCTGTGAATCTGTGAAGGAGCTGCCAGCTTGGAAGGTACATTGACATATTGACATCAGCAGTGCAGCACGCATACTTTAAGATGCTCATACAATTTTACATATTTTACTGAACCAAATCTGCATTGTACCTTTCGGCCTGACAGCCAACAACAACGGTCTCATTATCACTTTTTCAGAAGAACGATCCGATAGTATCAATAATCCGTGTACTTGACATGCTTCACGTCTTGACAAATACACACCACAGCCCTGAATTTAATTGAATCTGCCTTGCTTCTGAAATGCATGCTCGGAGGAAGTAAGCCACGACAATTCACTGAAGATGCTCTTCTTAGACGTATCCAGCTGCGTATCTATCATCTAAAAAATCATCTACGATAAACGAAAGATCTCCATGCATCAATGGACGCCACAGCTGACAGGAAGTCGAGCCTATCTTTCAGCACACGGCGTCGTAGGGTGCTTGGAGTTCCCAAGCGACTGCGGGACGGCATGAAAGGAGGCCTTACATCGCTGAACTCCAAGGTTCCTTGGGCACTAGTTTCAACATGGTTCAATCCATTTCAATCCACTATGACGAACTTTACTGGCTCAAAGCACGGACGAGTGATTTGAAGCAAAGAAATGAGAAGGCGGGGTTAACCACGGAGATTGTTATTAATTTATATCAAAGGATTTTAAACCGGTAAAAGCATTCTGTGCTACGTACCTCCATCGGTTTCTCAAGCCTCTCATATTTATGAGTAAATAAACCTGCAGATGCTTGTCACTGCATCCCATGCACAGGCGCATGGGTGGAGCATCACCCAACCCGAGTTTTCATATCCACCATCCTTGGTAGCCCTGCTCAAATCCAGCATCGGCAGTGGCTGGTCTTGAGGGTGCTCTTGACATCTGAAAAGATGGTGCCTCCTCCGGACGTGAGAAACAAACGCTTTTCTAAGGGCACCTCTGACGGAAGTATTGAATTTGTTGAAAGTATGTTGAAAGTATTGCGATTTTTGTGTATGAAATTTCGGGCAAGGGATTTAGCCATTTGGTTTTCAACATGTTGGGGACTTCACTGGGTCGCTCCTCGGATCGCTGATTGGATCGCTTGGGTGAGTTGCTCACCCTTTCGCCCCAGAAGCTGGATACCTGAGCTGACGGAAAGGGAGGAATTTGGAGGATTTGGACATGAAAATCATGAAGATATCATGACATTGGGATAATTTGGGATACATGGATTCAATCAGCAAGAAATGAGTTCTAAACCAACAATGAGCCAAACATGCAAAAGGATCAAAAGGAAAGACCTGCATCGGTTGCTGGGCAAATCACATGATTTACTGTAAATGTTCTTAGCATATCTTCGCCATAGCGAAACCTTGGATCTTCTGACACGATTTAAGTGAATTGGGGAAGGCTTCGCAGGAAGCCTTCTCTGGATTGACCTGCTGATTCATGAATTCTCATGGATTCTCATGGATTGTGAATGACTTTGAAGATCTTTGAAGTAATAGGCCTGGCATTCGGCTGATATCACGGCACTACATGCAAGCCACCTTTTCCACGCGCTCATTCAGGTGGGAACAATCACTCGTCTCCTTGAAGTTCAGCATGCCTTGGGCTCTTGCAAAGGGAATCACTCAGCTCCCGCAGCTCTGTCAAGTGTGATCTGGTCATACTTTGCATAGCAGCTGATCATGGTGTATCATACTGGTATCATATTATTGGTATCATATATGATACACACACACATATATATATATAGATATGGTATCATATTGGTATCATGGTGTCATGCAGCTTATCACAGGAAACCTAACTGACATGGCAAGCGGCGTTGCATCATGGCCCAATTCTCCACCATACTGTCGATGCAGCTTCGTTCGTGCTCCACGTGCAAAATGAAGCGCACCTGGCACACGTTGTTGAGTACAGGCCTGTCATGGAATGTGTTGTAAAAGAATCCCAGTACATCCCAGTGTGTCCGAAAGGAATCTCGCATAAACTCGCACACCAATTATAACCAACAGAACAAAACGACCGCACCGGGCATCTTTGATCATCTTTGAGCTTGTTCCGACTGCCAAACCTCAAGGCCTTCAGCTGCACCCAGCTGCACTCAGCCGCACCCACCCAAACACCTGGTGTAGAAAGCGCTCGGGGCTCGTCTTCGGAAGCATCTTCCGAGCTTTGCTTTCCTTCACGATGGCACCATGGACCAATGACAGCAGCTGCTCACGATACAAGATCTGGATCACCATCTGCACCCTGCGAGATGCTGGAATGAGTCTGCAGCGGGAACAGGACATAATGTGTTTTTTTTTCATACAGAGTCATACATTATAAACAAGATGATTGTGTAATGATGGTACGACTTCTTTGTGTCTACAATTGGAGATGCACGGTTTCTGTGTGAATTTGAAAAAGAATGAACAAGGTATCAAGTGCCCAGAGATGCCCAGAGAAATTGTTTCCGAGAGCCTATCTATGGCCTATGTCTCCAGAGACCCTTCCGCCTTTTGATATCTGAAAGCAGGCGGCATTGTCGCCGCACCCATGCCACTACCGTCAGTGCCTGGAGCGGACGGAGGCTGCATCTTGCTGCATCTGCCAAGCCAAGCAGTTTTTGCTGTCTGAATCTCGAACCCGATAACATCCGATAACCCACTTGGCACTTCTTGGCCTTTTCCAGATTTTTCCAGTTTTGACATGTTCTGACTATGTCTAAATCCTTGCCCCTTACGGTCCACTTCATGATTCACCTGTGGAAATCTCTAGCAGCATAACATCGTCCGAAAAGCGGAATCAGTAATTGTGCTGGGATGATCTCTCAAATGGCAGTGGGTCATACTGAGTTATACTCATATCGTAATCATTTGCAATCATCATATCAATATCATTCAATATCCCAACCTTGTCCATCCTTATCATTGAATCATTCCTTATCCCAATCATAAGGGGTTCAATATCCATCAATATCCACTAACCTTCTAGCAACCGCCCACCATCAACCCCTCACTTCTCGTTGGACGCCAAGTGGCTTTGTTACTCTTCGATTGTGATCGAATTGCCAAGTCATGCAACTGACCTGCAACGGCAGCACAGACTTCCCCAACAGCTCCAGCGGCCCGGCGCTGCCCAGGCTGCCCAGGTGCCTAAGCCTCCACCTGCAAAGTCAGCTTCATCGACCTCCTGCACCGTGGCTTCTGCTTCTGTTATTGGCAAGTTAAGTGTTAAGCGGAACATCTAGGGCTTGGGTTATCTTGATTTATCTTGGGTTCGTTGGGTTGTACAACGCTGCCGGGTCCTCAAAGGCTGAGGTCACGGAACCTACAGATACCACCACACATACCACCGAATCTGACTCTGCCCTTTTGCCAAAGGTATCTTTACTTCAAACCTTGATTTACATGCATTGTTCAAACCAAGGCATCTGGGTCATGCAGTTTTTTTCAATGCTGAATATCGAAAGGACAGGACATCGGACATTGCTTGGATCGAAGCAAATACTGCTTGTGACACGGACTCATCACCGTCAAACATGTAGAAACATTGATGGGCAGCCATAGCTGCTAATTCGCTCTGGGCAAAACCGGAAACGATGCCAGCTGTTAGATCCATTAGTTCCACCATGTTCCACCTATCAGATGTTCCGGCTGAGGTGATCCACAGATTCCACAGATCTGGGTCGCCCCAACTTTTCAACCGCTTGACGCTTTTACCTGGCGCCACGTTTCGTTTTTTGGTCCGTCTACTGCTCACGTCTAGAATTCACTCACAACTCCGGATTTTGAAAGAGTTGAACTTGTGTTCATCGGAAGCGGTGAAATGCCGATCTGGTTGGTCAATACAATGTTATCAGCTGTTCTTCAAAATCTAAGCATCCGTAACGCTCAACACATCTTGCAGAACTGTAATATCCAATGGGCCCCTTCCAAATAATTAGGTACACATTTTCAAGGAAGTTTGAGCCATGTTGGGCCATGGAGATTTGTGGAGTCACAGTGCGCCACTTTTGCTGCCGTGCTCAGTGCTGTTGTCTGAAGCGCGGGGGCAAGGCCAAGATTCCAGCCTCAGTGGCGTCCACTTGGAATGCTTGGACAATTTGGACCATAGTTTGTCGCTGATGCCAACTGTACGCCGAGTTGCCTAAAGCACCACAGCTTGCATTAGCTCTGCACGAGCCTGTGCCGTGTCGCCGTGTCGCCGTGTCGCCGTGTCGTGGTGGGCACATCTGTTCAAAACATTAAAAACACTTTCAGGATAAACAGTTAAACTAAACAGTTAAACACCTCTGACAATTCAAGCGTCAAGGACAGTCAAGTGCGCTTCAGCTCGGCCATTCTCGGCCTCAACGCTGAGAGCCATAAACTGCTTAGCAGCAAGGGTCCGTAGCCTTAGTGGCACTTGCGATGGATGTCATGTTTTCCACTTTCCACGGTGTTTAGATGATGCCACCAGTGAAGATTCTGGAACAGCTACTCCTCAGCGAAGCTGGCTCTTGCAAGAAAGAGGAAGTCAACTATCATTTGTGAGGATCGACAAAGTCAATCAGCCATACGTAATTGTTTCGCAATCCTTTTTACAACTTCTTCGCGCCTGTGACAATGAGATACAAAAACATGTTCCATCCAGTAGTTCTTTTCGAATCAATTATCCAAGTATCCCACTTGCAGTATCGGGATTCATCATCCCGGTTCACATCCCGTTGTAAAAAAGGTTGTTGTAACGGTTATTGTCAAGTTGTAACAATGCGATAAACCAAAGATCTACAACAATCATAAACACCAACTGTAATCGCCAAGTCATTTTGGCTCCAACCATTCTCCGACCAAGTGGCTCTTTGGGCGTCAGCTCCGGCCGTTGCTGCGCAATGTCCTGGTGCCAAGATGGCTGTCGAGGCTGTCGAGGCTGTCGAGGCTGTCGAGGGCGTTAAGTCTGCAATCTGTCGATATCGATGTGTCAGTAAAATGATGTAACAAAAATGTAACAAATGCAATCTGTAATTTTCTGTGAAACATGTTTCAAATGATTATAACATGCTCTATGGATCCTCGATGGAATATAGGGTGAGCAGCTGTGTACCAGTTTTGTAGGTATGAAATATGGGGTCACGGGTCCCCTAGCTACAAAAAGGTATGCCCAACCCAAAAAGCAGCTCTACAAAATGATGCTGCAGGTACCCCACACATACCCAGGTGGAGCCTACAAAAAGCCACTCGCATTTTTGTTATGGATGTTGAAAACAGATGCAAAAGCGACTAAGATAAGCCCAAGTCTTTTTGTAGTCTCGCCCAGTTTGTTTTCGAATCATCTTTGCTCAAAGCCCAGTATGGTATCTAATATGCGCGTCAATTAGTGTGACATCGTGTCATCTAGAGTCAATTAGTGGTGTCAATTCGTATCGATTAGCTTTCTTTAGTGGCAAGTAGTGCAATTGAGTGTCAATTAGTGACATTTAGTGTCCAATTAGTGTCAATGAATGTTATTTAGTGTTCATTAGGGTCAATTAGGATCACTATGGATCATTTAATTGTGTGTAATAATAAACAAAAAGCAACCAAAAAACAACAAATGAAGAGTTCCCACAAAACGTTGCCAAGAGCTGCAATTTGTGTTTTTTACTAGGGTAGGTGCGTTATTTTAGGGAACTAAGCTACGCATATTTGTATAACTCCAAAGACACGGTGTATATATATATATACACAACTCCAAGGACAGAGTCCTGGACTATATATATATATACATACATATGTAACTCCAAGGACAAAGTCCTGGTCTATATATATATATATGATTCTATATGAATATACATAACTCCAAGGGCAAAGTCCTGGACTATATACGCATAAGTAACTCCAAGGACAAGGTCCTGGTCTATATATATATATACATACATACATAACTCCAAGGACAAAGTCCTGGACTATATATATATATATACATATGTACCTCCAAGGACAAAGTCCTGGTATAAATATATATATATATATATAACTCCAAGGACAAAGTCCTGGACTACATATGTTTCCTATTTAAAAAAAACGTCCCTGTTCAGGACACTGCCTGTTCGGCAGACTAGTTACTGTTTCGTCATGGTCCTGGCTATAGTATTTATTTTCAAGGACCACATCCTAGTATACATCTGTAGCAATTTACATATATATATATGTGTGTTTTTTAATACTTATATATATTTATATATATATCTGTAGTATTAACTACTTATATATCTGGGTTTTATTTCGTGTCGAGCACCTAAAGTACCAAAGTCTGCCCATCCAATTACTGCGCGCTACAAACTGATGAGGCCGCCTCACTTCACTACAAAATGCATGCTGTGATCAACTATTGCATGAAGTTCCAACGACCCTCACGTAAGCATGGTATCTAATATGCGTGTCAATTAGTGTGACATCGTGTCATCTAGAGTCAATTAGTGGTGTCAATTCGTATCGATTAGCTTTCTTTAGTGGCAAGTAGTGCAATTGAGTGTCAATTAGTGACATTTAGTGTCCAATTAGTGTCAATGAATGTTATTTAGTGTTCATTAGGGTCAATTAGGATCACTATGGATCATTTAATTGTGTGTAATAAAAAACAAAAAGCAACCAAAAAACAACAAATGAAGAGTTCCCACAAAACGTTGCCAAGAGCTGCAATTTGTTTTTTTTACTAGGGTAGGTGCGTTATTTTAGGGAACTAAGCTGCGCATATTTGTATAACTCCAAAGACACGGTGTATATATATATATATACACAACTCCAAGGACAGAGTCCTGGACTATATATATATATATAACTCCAAGGACAAAGTCCTGGACTACATATGTTTCCTATATAAAAAAAAACGTCCCTGTTCAGGACACTGCCTGTTCGGCAGACTAGTTACTGTTTCGTCATGGTCCTGGCTATAGTATTTATTTTCAAGGACCACATCCTAGTATACATCTGTAGCAATTTACATATATATATATGTTTTTTAATACTTATATATATTTATATATATCTGTAGTATTAACTACTTATATATCTGGGTTTTATTTCGTGTCGAGCACCTAAAGTACCAAAGTCTGCCCATCCAATTACTGCGCGCTACAAAATGATGAGGCCGCCTCACTTCACTACAAAATGCATGCTGTGATCAACTATTGCATGAAGTTCCAACGACCCTCATGTAAGCATGGTATCTAATATGCGTGTCAATTAGTGTGACATCGTGTCATCTAGAGTCAATTAGTGGTGTCAATTCGTATCGATTAGCTTTATTTAGTGGCAAGTAGTGCAATTGAGTGTCAATTAGTGACATTTAGTGTCCAATTAGTGTCAATGAATGTTATTTAGTGTTCATTAGGGTCAATTAGGATCACTATGGATCATTTAATTGTGTGTAATAATAAACAAAAAGCAACCAAAACACAACAAATGAAGAGTTCCCACAAAACGTTGCCAAGAGCTGCAATTTGTTTTTTTTACTAGGGTAGGTGCGTTATTTTAGGGAACTAAGCTACGCATATTTGTATAACTCCAAAGACACTGTGTATATATATGCACAACTCCAAGGACAGAGTCCTGGACTATATATATATATAACTCCAAGGACAAAGTCCTGGACTACATATGTTTCCTATTTAAAAAAAAAAGTCCCTGTTCAGGACACTGCCTGTTCGGCAGACTAGTTACTGTTTCGTCATGGTCCTGGCTATAGTATTTATTTTCAACCCCATTTTTTCATCTTATTTTAAGCCTGGCAAGGCCTGGCAAGGCCTTGAAACGGGGCACAAGGCCTCCCATTCTGTAGTGGAAATTCGAACGGGGATACTGAGGCTACAAAATGCATTCCCTGATTCTCTTGGGCTGCGTTGTACATTGCATGATTCAGCCACAAAGAGACTACAAAATGCAGTCAGCAATTTATAAGCTGATGTAATATCACATAATCTTCCATTTTCGATTCCACGTTTTGGAGGCCTACAAAAAGCCTATTGTATTTGCCAAACAGGGGGCCTACAAAATGCCTAGGGTAACTTTACTACAAAAAGGGGGCCCAAGACTAATTTCAGCTACAAAAACCTATCCCCAGACCATTTTATACCGTACACGTGTTCTCCCTTTTTGTAGTGGAAATACCATCGGGGATCTCTATGGCAATTCTAACAAATAATAGTCAACCACAGTAGCCGCTTGGAGTTTTGACTCCCGAAAGTGATCTATGCGAGATGTTGACGTCCAGCTGCCTGCAGTGAAGTAGACTTTGCTTGAAATGATGAGCTCGTCATACATCTCAGGACTCATCTGATGTGCTCAGAAATGATTCAAACGATGGCCCGCACCTTTCTATTCTGCTAACATATAATTATATAATTAATATACTACGGTACCTACATTTAAATATACGGATATTTAAACAACGCAATAGGTATTTTATACTACCTCCGGGCAAGTTTTCTCTGGCCCGGCCAACCATCTTAAATATACGGAAGTTAACTATTTAAATATACGGAAAAAGGAGCTGCCGGCGACCGCTCCACCAGTTCAGTACCTGGTGCAAATGGCAAATGTCCACCGTTTCGATCCCCTCGCTTTCGTTCTTGATCAATGAAAGCATCCTTGGCAAATGCTTTCGCATTAGTCAATAGTCTGTCTTTTATGGTATTGAGGTTGTACTGTACTATACGATTTTGGCTTTGGTGGAAATTCCTTTCATTAAAAATTCGAACTGGGTGGAAGCGCGTGGCTAGAAATTGCTTGCTTCTCTCTTTCTTGCAAGAAATGTCCTAGGTGGAGTTCCTGGGTGGAAGTTCCTTGCTTCTTGGGCGGAATTCCTAGATGAATTCCATAGGTGGAATTTCACGGGTGGTGGTGGAAGTTGCTTGTTTCCCTCTTTCTGCGGAAAAAAAACGGTGGGATTTTTTGGGTGGGGTATCCTGGCTGGCAATTCCTTGCTTTCCTGTGTCTTGGGGAAAAATTGCCTAGGTGGACTTACCTGGCTAGAAATTGCTGGAATCTTCCTTCCTCAGCAAGACTTACCTGGGTGGAGTTTTGTGAGTGGAAATTCCTTAGTTCCCCGCTGTCTGGTTGCAAGTTACTTAGGTGGAGTTTCCTGGGTTGAAGTTCCTTGCAGTGCTCCTGCTCCTTCTTGGAGTCCTTTTTTGGAATTTAAGGGATTTGCTGGCTTCCCTCTTTCTGCAGAGAAATTTCCTAGGTGGAGTTTCTTGGGTGGGGTATCCTGGCTGGCAATTCCTTGCTTTCCTTTGTCTTGGGGACATCGCTTGGTGGCATGTCAAATTGGAGTAGGCCACCACCCACCCTGCAGCTGTCATTTTCCGAGTGGTTGGAAGGGTGATGCGATTGCACCTCTGTGCCCCACTTCGGTTCCAGCAGCTTATTGTCAGCCACTTACACCTCCATGGGTGGGATGGGTGTGGAAAGAAACATCATTGTTGCAGGTGGCTGGCAGCTTGAGCCAAAATGGCACAGCCAGCCACCTGCTCATGTCATGCAGAAAACATTCTGTTTTCTTTTACGACATCGCTTGGTGGCATGTCAAATTGGAGTAGGCCACCACCCACCCTGCAGCTGTCATTTTCCGAGTGGTTGGAAGGGTGATGCGATTGCACCTAATTTCACACCTCCCAAGTCTGTGCCCCACTTCGGTTCCAGCAGCTTATTGTCAGCCACTTACACCTCCACCTCCTTGCCCAAGCGCTGACAGTTGGCATTTGGAACATGTTACCATCGTGCAGTCTCCATCCGCAAACTCATAGTTGGAGGCGTGGAAGTACCATCCACACCTAGTCCTCCAGCCGATCGGAGGTGAGTACAGCAGTGTGCGTGTGTTCAGATGAACCACCTGCTGTTTCACAGATTTGACCAAATTCGGGAGGTACTTCGCAGCCGTGCCCATACGGTTTTCCAACTCCCTGATTGCCTTCTCCAAGTTTGAGTGGCTTCCTTTTGTGTCATCCTTGAACGAGTCCAACTCCTTCTGTAAGTTCGAAATGACCTTCGTGTTCGCCTTGTTCGATTGGATGGAGTTGTCTTTGGTTGGTGCTGTTTCAGCGGAGTTTCCTTTGATGAGCTGCTGTGCGAGCTGCATTTGCTGGGTGTTGGAGCCAAAGCAGCCAGAGTTGTTGACTGCTAAGGACTCCAAGGCCTCCTGGGCATATTCCAGGATTACGTTGCTTTTCCATCTGCCCAGGAATCCTACTTGTGCCACAGGCCATCCACTGCGGATGTATTGCAACGCACCCGTCCGGCGCGTAGAGTGGCCTGTGATTTCGTCTCCATATAGCTTTCTCCAGTCCTTGACGATGTCGGATTTGGACGCAGGTTTGCCCTTTCTGTTGGAAGCAATGTGTCCGCCTGGGGTTCCTCTGAGTGCAGCCAAATTGACCAGGGACTCGAGGACGGCAAACGGGCAACGAAGGTCGCATCCATGTTCGCAAACGCATTGAAGGGTTCTGGATATTCCGTGCCCTTCGGCATCCTTTTTGGATTCTTTCCAGTTGATGGTGACCATTCGTGAAGCTTCCTCGAATTTGATGTCTTCCGCTGTGAGCGCGGCGATCTCAATCTCCCGCATCATCCAATGTACTCTGCATGCAAATAAGTGGGTCGGTAGATTGACCTTCATGCCGGTGGTGAGAGGGTCGGCCAACAACGAATGAGCCGTCCACTCCGCTTCTGGCACTTCTGCCGCTTTCTTGCGAGGGCCCTGGCCCCTTTTTGAGGCTGCCATACATAGCTTGAAGTGGCGATCCAGCAAGCTCGTCCAGGCGTGCCCTGTTTCCACATGTGCTAATTTTGCTTCGACGAGGTATTGGCTGGTCGATTTGTAACCCGCTTCTCTGAGCGTACCTGCTAGCATTTTCAGCGCAAATGGTGTCAACGGAAAACCTTCGCCACCTGCACGAAGAACTTGGTTGACTGTATTTCTCTTGGCGTTCTTTGCCGCCCTAGATGAGTTGGCGCAGAAATCTTCCTCTACCCTTGCCACGATGCCTGCCAGTGCGTTCTTGGCCTTGGCTAGTTTGACGGCCGCTTTGATTGATGGCTTCGCTATGTTGTGAGTCAGACGCCTTTTTGGCAAGTCCTTTCTTCTGTCCTTTTCTGTCACGGTTGGGACTGAAGGATAGGGGCTCTGCAGCATCGGTTGAGGTGGTAGATCCAGCGCCGGCATGGCTAATGCTTTGATGTTCTTCCCTATGTCGCTCAGGCGCAGCTTCTTGACTGGCGAAGCTAACAGTTCTCTCCACCATGGGCCCTTCGTTGGTGATGAGCTTCTTACTGAACCCAGCGCAGGTGGATCCGGTGGAAACTTGTGCGCCTCAGGCTCCGGTGTGTTGCTTGGTTCTGACTCCTGTCCCTGGCTCGATATTGTTCTGCTCTTGTTGGGGCTGTTCACGTCTGCCTCCCGCAAGCTCCATAGGTCGAAGGAGTCCTCTTGGTTGGAGCTCGCAAGATCAGTTGCCCTCGTGCCGTAGCCGGAGTCCATGGTTAGTCCAGGATTAGCCAGCAATCTCTGCCCCTCAGCTGGTCTTCCCTCCAAGTGTGGGATCTCCGTGTCACGAATGTCGCTAAGTCCACCCCTGTCTTGGGATACCGCGACAATGGTAGGTGCGCGGAGCAAGCGGAAGAGGCACCCGCTTTGACCCGAGGCTGATGATGAAGAACTGGGGCCGTGGGTTTGAAACAACATAGATACCAGACCGTCTTGAGGAAGACGACTAGCAGGAGAAGGGCCCCGATCCCGACCATCACCGGGAAGAGCCACGGCATCCATGGCTTCTCGAGGGGCACTAAAGGCCCTGGGTCGACGTAGGGCGTGAGGCCTAAGTCGGTCATGATGAAAAACTGCGGCAACATGAAATGAAATTTTAATCGAGTGAATTTGGTTGCTGGGATTTTGACATGTGTTGGTCTTATGATGCCTCATCCTATGAGGTGCGGCTGTTTCCTCATCCTTTGTCAGGCCTGTCAGGTCAGTTGATACAAGACCAGCCGCTGTTGGCCGCAGAGCTGGGCTTCCAAAGATCGGGAGCCAGCTGGGGAGGTGCCAGGTGATAGAACTCTGGTCCCCGGACTTGTTTGTCCGAGTGCACGGGAATGTCCCGGAGTTCGTCTGGCACCTCTTCCTTAGATACCTTGTCCGGGCGGCTGAGCCAGTCTGCAGCCTTGTTGGCGGACCCCGGAATGTGAGAAGTCCTCAGCGTCTCGATGCCGATTTCTTCACACGTGAGGGCGATCTCGGCGCCCAGGAAATTCAGTGTGGACGTCGCACTCGACAGTCGTTTCGATGTTGCCAGGGCGACTAGACTGTCACTCTGGACTTGCAGTTCCACGTTGCAGGATTGTAGATCCCGTTTCCAGTGTTGCAACGCCAGCAGGACCGCCAAGGTCTCTACGATGCCTTGGGAGGATGATTGCTCCCAGACGTCTTCAAATCCCAAAAGTCTGGCATCGCGATGGGTGACCTTCGTGGTGTAGGCCCTCACCAGGCGGTTGTTGATCCGTAGGATGGCTCCTGCCCCTAACGGGCTTGCGTCCGTCACTATGGTGGCCTTCGGGTACTTCGTGGTGTCCAGCTTGAGACGCCTGGTGGGTTTGGCCCGGGCGACCTCCAGGTATTTGATGAGCCATACCCGTGGTTGTTCCAATTGTTTGACCACGAAGAGACCATCCTTTGAACGTTGGTCGGTTCTGTTCTGGCGTCTCTCGGATTCCTTGCCCGACGCAATGTCATTGAGTCTCTCATGCAGGACTCGGTAGAGCACAGCTACGACCCATCGTGTCCGGGGCAAAATTCCTGAGACCCATGAAGCTCTGCCTGCGACTTGTCGTAGTTCTTTGATTGGGGCCATTCCCGCTTTGTCCCAAGACCGGAGGGTTTGGATGAGTTCTTCCAACAGCTTGTCTGGGAGGCTCAGGATGATGGAGTCCTCCGTCAGAGTGAAGCGGACCCCTACCCATTGAACTTGAGTTGAGCGTAGGCCCTTCTTGAGTGATACCTTCAGGCCCAGGGCGAAGAGGGTAGTGAGGATCATGGAGAGCACACTATTGCGTTCGGCCAGCGTGCCCTGCAGAATCCATAAGCCATCGTCCAGATATGTCTGATGTTGTGCCTCCTTGCCCTGCACGAGCGACTGCAGCAATCTCGAGATCAAGGCTGCTATGCGTGACCATAGCAATGGAGCCGTCTTGAACCCGAACAGCAAGGCTACGAAGAGGTAGAAGTTCGGTCCGTTGACTTCTGGTGCCAATGCGTGCGGCAATTCCGCTTCGTGCACTGCGAGGGACATAAATGCGTCAGAGATGTCTACCACGACCAGCTCCCTCGAATATCCTTCGTCTGCTCCGCAAGGACGTCGTTGCTCGAAGACGTTCCTGAACATGTTGATGGCATCCTTCGGACGGGGCAGGACGAGTTTTTCCGGCAACCTGGCTTTCTTGTTGCCCCCTGATCTGCGGAGGTCCAATATGATCCTTCTCTTCACTCCTTCGGGTTTCTGCTTGATGATCAGGCCCAGTTTGGAGATTGTTCCATGAGCCATTTCCTTCGTAACCGTCTCTTTGTCGACGTCTACTAGGAAACCTTCCTTCCGGTACCTGTCCAACTCGATTTTTGCGTCTTCGGCATGATCGAGGACTGAAGCATAGTTGGGTATGTCGCCATGGCTCATCTGGGCACCTGCGTCTTCTAGTTCATGTTGACCATGGTAATCCAAGTTGTTGTCGTCCACATTCAAAGGGAAAATGCCTCTTGTCTGGATGGGTACCTCAATCCCCAAGGGAGCTCCGTTCCTCACCCAATCTGGTATGATGTCGTCGGGATCAGCGCTTTTCGAGATCCAGGCTTCTAGGAGTTCTGGGTCGAGAGGAGACATGTAGTTCCACCTGGGCTTCATCTTCACACTGGGGGGAGCTTTAGCGCCCAGCACCTTTTTGAGCGTGGCCTTCCATTCTTTGACCAAGGTGTCATTCATGTCGCAATCCGGGGTGCCATAGGTCTCGGCTACTGTTGACGTTCCCTTGTGTTTCCTCTCGAATGCTTCCCATGCTGCCCGGATGCGAAGGCCCAGAGAAAGAAGAGTTGCCCTCGGAAGCACCACTTTGTATGGATCCCTCATGCCTCCTATGAACTCCAATAAGGCTGGGTTGGCGTCTTTGGCTGAGCTGGGCTTCAAAGTTTCGTGTTTGCCCTCGCCGCCCTGCCAGTATGCTTCGGGTGTCTCTCCTACGTCCCTGGCCGGTTTCAGCTTCACAGGTGTGGTTGTGTCCCGCCTCCTGCGCTTCAACGGCGGCCTTGCTGGGCTCCTCGTGTTGTCGCCCAATGTAGCTGCCTTGTACTCCCTCCTTGTCGGCGGGCTGAGCGAAGGAAACTTAGTTTTCGTCCGTGATCTTGAGCGAGAGGTCTTTCGTGTGGGTCTCTCTCGTTGGCCCGGCAGTTTGGCGTCTGGGCCAAATTCGTCGTCCCTCCTCACTATCTTTGCCTTCGTCACGTCCAAAACGTTCTGAAGTGAGGCCATGCGAGATCGTAGGAATTCCTCCTTCCCCATCATCTTGAGATGATCAATGGCCAGCTTTGCATAGGCCAGACAAAGGGCCTCTGGATACGTGGCCGACGCCTTGGATTTCTCTGGACCGATGATGGCCTCATGATTGCTGGGGTCGCCGCACGTGCACTCCAATGACAAACATTGCATGCCCCTCAAAGTGCCTTCAAATTGTTGCGGTTTGTAGTGCCGCTTGCCCAGCTCCAGGTTCTCTTCATACCTGCATGTGTTGAAGATGACTGATTGGCTTGGCCTCACTTTGAGAAACTTCTGCATCTCCGGGAGCTCCCAAGCAGAAAGGTGTTCAGGCTCGTTTGATGGCGGCGGATTTTCTAATGTGGCAATTGCGCCAATTGTGGAGATTCTCCTTGACTCCGCCACCGTCGTCGCCATGTCTATGGCTCTGCAAGCCATGATCGTGCCCCGGTCGCACTCGGCCTGGGCTGCAGGCCTGTTGGAGTACCTTCCATGTGGCTCTGCCTTCGTGCGGACTGGTCCAGGCATGCCCTGCCTTCGCCGGAACCTCAATCTCGAGAATGTAGAACATGGAAATCCTGCATGATACGCATCGATGTAGCCCCGTTTTGCCCACCTCAGGTGAGTGTTGTATGGTTCATCGGCTAGTAAATCGCCTGAACCATTCTCTTTCTCAACACTGATGGCTTTGAGGCGGATTCCTTGTTTCAATGCCTCATTCCTCATCGCCGTCGTGAGGGGGTCGACAGCACCAGCATAGTGGTGTACGAAGATGAACACCCTCTTTTCATAATATTCATCCAACGTCTCGGCCAGCAGGGGCGTGTCTTCTTCCGGATTGTCATTGCCTTCGTCTCCATGGTCTTCTCCCTCGTCTGACTCATAGGTGTACGTGTATTCAGCTGAAGATTGTGGTTCCTTCGTCACCTCCACCTTGGTGCCCTGGCTTGGTTCTCCTTGTTGTCCTGTTGTGGAGGTTTTCACACGTCCTTCTTCGTGCAATCCTTGTTTGGATGTCCAGGGGAATCGCAGACGGTGCACCTGTGTAGACGAGGTACAGCAGCTTGACACTTCTGCCCCGGTGCCAAATCCCCACAGGGCCCATTGCCATTGTTCCAGCTGAAACATTTCTGTTTGGCGGTGGACTTTCCTCCACCCTTTCCTTTTCCTTTTTCCCCATTTCCTCCTTTTGAAGATCTTGGGTTTTCTCCACCGTTTTGTTCTGTCCTCCATTTGCGTTTTCTCCTCCTTGTGTTTTCTGATGGGCCCTGTTGAACGTCCTTCGTGCCTGTGGAGTTCTCCCTGATAGGCGTGATGGTGTTGAGGCCTCCTTGCAACTGACCTGCTACCAATTGTTCTGCCGGTGTACGGGGTGTTCCATGACTTCCTGCCGCAATCCAACTCAGTGCCGGTGCAACGACTTGTACCTGCCAGAAACCCTCGTCCCGTGCTAGAGCTCCATAGATGTGATCCCATGGACGGCTCGTTGAAAATCCTTCTGGTGGATGTCGGCCCGCCTTCAGGTCCATGAGGATTTTTGATCTTACTCTGTTGGCCTGTGCCGACCTCGCCACCTCGTCTGCGCTGTATATCAAATGCCAGCATGAGGGGAACGATCGGGCCAATCTTTCCATGTTGTTCTCGTAGGCCTGAAGGGAGGCCAAACCCACAGCGTCCAACATAAGGAGGGCCGTCTTGAGGAGCCTGTAGCATGTCCTCCATTGTGCGAAGTTGGCTGGACCCGGCAACTCTTTGGCTATGTAGCCACTTGCGGTCAAAACGAACGACCTGAACTTCGATGCTTTCAGCGCCTTCTGGCCGTAGGGCACGAATATCGCAAAGTCCACGTAGGGGGCTGTGTCTTGGATCTCGATGCGCTTTGAGAGGGCTGACAACTGCTCCAATGTCGGGTCCTCTTCTTCTGGAGGCCAGCCCCCTATCACTTGAACATACTGCTGGTACCAACGTGCCCTCGACTCCTCCGTTTGCACTGTAAAGTCGCCGTCGTCGTTCTGGTCCAAGATCGTCATCTTCAGTTTTCTCTCTGTATGATCTCCCGTGGAAGCCTTCGTTGTCGCATCCTCCGCAGTGACCTTCTGCTCCCCAAATGGTGAGGTTTCCTTCCAACTGTCCCAACTCCCTCCATTCAGGGTGTGCTGTATCCTGTGGGACAAATTCCAGACTAATCCCACATGGGAAGCTTGAATTGCACTCAGGTATTGGCCATTGGGCAGCTGGGCGCGTTCGAGCGCAGCCGAAAGAACTGGTCCAGGAAGGACGGCAAGAAGTCTCATGTCTTCGCATGGATCCCCTGCCACATGGGTGAAAGCCTTCCAGACCTCCTCCGGCAAGCTGTAGTACGCTCGGATGTCGGTCAACGAGCCCATCTGCATGGCGTCCGTCTGAGACGGGTACATCACCGAAAAACAAGCTGACCGCGCACCCCAACTGCAAAAGAAACATCATTGTTGCAGGTGGCTGGCAGCTTGAGCCAAAATGGCACAGCCAGCCACCTGCTCATGTCATGCAGAAAACATTCTGTTTTCTTTTACAAAAATTGCCTAGGTGGACTTACCTGGCTAGAAAGTTCTGGAATCTTTCTTCCTCAGCAAGACTTACCTGGGTGGAGTTTTGTGAGTGGAAATTCCTTAGTTTCCCGTTGTCTGGTTGCAAGTTACTTAGGTGGAGTTTCCTGGGTGGAAGTTCCTTGCAGTGCTCCTGCTCCTTCTTGGAATTCCCCCTTTTTGGAATTTAAGGGAGTTGCGGTTTTCCCGCTTTACGCGGAAAAACAAACCTAGGTGGATTTCTTGGGTGGGGTATCCTGGCTGGCAATTCTTTCCTTTTCTTTGTGTTGGGGAAAAATTGCCTAGGTGGACTTACCTGGCTAGAAAGTGCTGGAATCTTTCTTCCTCAGCAAGACTTACCTGGGTGGAGTTTTGTGAGTGGAAATTCCTTAGTTCCCCGCTGTCTGGTTGCAAGTTACTTAGGTGGAGTTTCCTGGGTTGAAGTTCCTTGCAGTGCTCCTGCTCCTTCTTGGAATTCCTTTTTTGGAATTTAAGGGATTTGCTGGCCTCCCTCTTTCTGCAGAGAAATTTCCTAGGTGGAGTTTCTTGGGTGGGGTATCCTGGCTGGCAATTCCTTGCTTTCCTTTGTCTTGGGGAAAAATGCCTAGGTGGACTTACCTGGCTAGAAAGTTCTGGAATCTTTCTTCCTCAGCAAGACTTACCTGGGTGGAGTTTTGTGAGTGGAAATTCCTTAGTTTCCCGTTGTCTGGTTGCAAGTTACTTAGGTGGAGTTTCCTGGGTGGAAGTTCCTTGCAGTGCTCCTGCTCCTTCTTGGAATTCCCTTTTTGGAATTTAAGGGAGTTGCTGGCTTGCCTCTTTCTGCAGAGAAATTTCCTAGGTGGAGTTTCTGGGTGGGGTATCCTGGCTGGCAATTCTTTCCTTTTCTTTGTGTTGGGGAACAATTGCCTAGGTGGACTTACCTGGCTAGAAATTGCTGGAATCTTTCTTCCTCAGCAAGACTTACCTGGGTGGAGTTTTGTGAGTGGAAATTCCTTAGTTAGTTTCCCGTTGTCTGGTTGCAAGTTACTTAGGTGGAGTTTCCTGGGTGGAAGTTCCTTGCAGTGCTCCTGCTCCTTCTTGGAATTCCCTTTTTGGAATTTAAGGGATTTGCTGGCTTCCCTCTGTCTGCAGAGAAATTCCCTAGGCCCTAGGTGGCCCTTTCCTGCTGGAGAAAGAGGCAAGCCAGCAAACCCCTTAAATTCCAAAAAGGAATCAAAAAGGGAATTCCAAGAAGGAGCAGGAGCACTGCAAGGAACTTCCACCCAGGAAACTCCACCTAAGTAACTTGCAACCAGACAACGGGAAACTAAGGAATTTCCACTCACAAAACTCCACCCAGGAAAGTCTTGCTGAGGAAGAAAGATTCCAGCAATTTCTAGCCAGGTAAGTCCACCTAGGCAATTTATCCCCGAGACATAGGAAAGCAAGGAATTGCCAGCTAGAATACCCCACTCAAGAAGCTCCACCTAGGGCCTAGGGAATTTCTCTGCAGACAGAGGGAAGCCAGCAAATCCCTTAAATTCCAAAGAGGGAATTCCAAGAAGGAGCAGGAGCACTGCAAGGAACTTCCACCCAGGAAACTCCACCTAAGTAACTTGCAACCAGACAACAGGAAACTAAGGAATTTCCACTCACAAAACCCCACCCAGGTAAGTCTTGCTGAGGAAGAAAGATGCCAGCAATTTCTAGCCAGGTAAGTCCACCTAGGCAATTTTTCCCCAAGACAAAGGAAAGCAAGGAATTGCCAGCCAGGATACCCCACCCAAGAAATCCCACCTAGGTTTTTTTTTCCGCGGAAAGCGGGAAACAAGCAACTTCCACCACCACCCGCGAAATTCCACCTAGGGAATTCATCTAGGAATTCCACCCAAGAAGCAAGGAACTTCCACCCAGGAACTCCACCTAGGACATTTCTTGCAAGAAAGAGAGAAGCAAGCAATTTCTAGCCAGGCGCTTCCACCCAGTTCGAATTTTTAATGAAAGGAATTTCCACCAAAGCCAAAATCGTATAGTACCGTACAACCATTTCCATCTGATGATTGTGTAGCAATCCCACAGGCCGCTCTCAATACCATTGTTTTGGGTCTAACTTTAACAACTCGACTCATAGAGTGTTCCAAATCATCAGCACCATATATTTGGACCATTTACCATTTACCTGCATGTATTCCCTGTGGTTTGCAATTTTTTAAACATGCGGAGTGGGCCCTACCATTTAAACATACGTACAGAACTGGTATTTCATACTACCTCCGAGCCTGACTGCCCTGGCCCGGCCACCAAATATTTAAATGTGATTACCGCATAATATATGTATTCGTGTCAGCTCGTAGGATTTCCGCCCAAAAAGCTGGTACACAGCATTGCCAATCCCTCCTGGCGTAGAGCTTCCAGCGCGTGACTGGCTCGGCTTGGAGTAGGCGTGTGCACCTGCACCTGCAAGTTTTCGAGTTGGGATTTCGACAGAGTTTTCAGGATACAACGATGTATATATATATATATTATATACTATATTTATACTGATAATATACTAATATATACTAATATATACTGTATAATGTGTACTTCAGGACTTTGGACTGAGTCGGAATGATTGTCGGGCTGCTTGAGAGACAAGGGCACAGGAGAAACTTTCGCATCACGAAGAGAATCATGGACGAACCAGCAGAATTGAAGCTCATCACTACACAAACTAATGGGAAAACATGGGAAAACCATGGGAAAACCCGTCAAAAAATCCCATGGGATCTTCCCCTCGTTGCACCGTGGCAGCGTGGCACCTTCTCCTCTGTGTCTGCGAGTGCAGCTGCAGGCAGCGATGGTACACGCTCTGCCATGGGCAGCAGAGGCTCTGGCAGCTCCAGCTGCAGCACCTCGCAATTCTTCATCCAGTAATCGCTGTAGCGCGCCTGGCTAAATGCTATAGGAAAAGGGACAAAAATTGGATGAACATGATGAACATATATTACATAGGAGATGTGAATAGAGATCTGAATAGTATGGAATGGATGAGGCACAGGATGTATTGTTCGTAATGATCATATTGTGATTAGCGTTTTTCTTAAGATGGACTTGGACGCATTCAAGGGGTCGCCTTGATTCCCAATTTTGTGAAAACAGGACCCTTTCGCATTCGTTTCACGATACGAAGCCCACCAACTTGCTGGGCGCCAGGCCAGCCTCTTTCTCACCGAAGTATCTGTGCAAAAAGCAGTTGAAAAAGTCTGCGTGCGCGAAAATTGCAATGACCTTCAGCCACAGTGGCAGCTCAGACAGCTCAGACAGCTCAGACAGCTCAGACAGCTCAGACAGCTCAGACAGCTCAGGTGCCAAGGGGTGTACTGTACTAGCGATAAGGACAACTCCAGCAACTCTCCAATGTCAAGATATGTCAAGTAGGCTGCATGTTCTCATGAAAAGGGGGAAATCATCCAGGTACAGCAGGAGTTTCCCTTGCAAGCACGCCAACACAGTACACACTACCATTACACACTTCTTTCTGTGCTCACATGATATACGTACATTGCACATCATATTTGGTTTCCAACTGCGAAGGAACCAAGGAATAGAATCTACATTAGATGTTTCATGATGTTTAACCGACCTTCATTTCATTTCAACATGTTCAACTCATTCCATTACTTCACCAATTTTCACCTTATCTTCACCTTATCTTCACCTTATTTTCACCTTTCTACACCGCCCTCTCCCGCCTTCTCCTGACGGTGGCTGAGCCATGCCACGAAGAGATCCACGCGTCGCTCGAAGTCGCGGCGAGATTCGCGGCGGCCTCGACGCGAGCAAAAGAAAACGTATCGAAATGTAAATGTGAATCATATGGAAATATAATGGACATATAATGGACATATATTGAATCATGTGGTCACAGTTCATTTCCTTTTGTCTGTCTGATTGAAAAAACAGGTTGTATGATCAAAGCAGCTGCAAAAGCCGATTACATGTCTCCACACCGGTAGGCGCAGCTTTCTGTCCAGGCCTTCTTTAGCGAACAAGCGCCTTGACTCTTGCACAGTGATGTCTTGACGACATTCCTCTGGCACATACCACCAGACCTGACAAGATTTGACAAGATTGGAGTGGCCAGTTGGAAGGTGCCCAGTTGAGAAGGCTAGGAATTGTCAACCAAACACGAGCACGCTGCTGTCGCGAGGATCCAAAAAGATGTGACATATTTTGGTCACAGGAATTTTCTAGACCAAAAGTCTCAGAAGGCAAACATGCAAAGCTAAGGAACATGCTAACGAACTCCAGTAAGCAATACAATCTGCTGTGGTGTTCAAAATTGCAGCGGGCCGAATCCCACTCCTTAAGCTGTCCAAATCCTGGTTTACCAGGGTAATCCTTTCTATCCACAATACCGTGCCACATGTGCAATTTGCATGTTTGGTCAAGTTATTCTCGTCTAATTCTTGGCAAACTTTGCCTTGATTTATACGTAGTATAACAAGAACTATGTAAGCAAATTACCCGCAAAAAGGTTGTTTGTAGTCTTTTGATGTTTTCTAGGCTAAAACCAAAGAAGAATCTGTGTTTGCTACAAACAGGTGAGGAATCTCTAAAACAGTTTGTTTCACCCTGCTGGAGCTTCACCCGAATAACCTGGCAATTGGTCGTGCGTATTTTTTTTGGTATCTGTTGGTGTTTTGTTTTTCTTATGGGTTATTCAATTTAAGGGATTATAATTTATAATAATGGAATATAGGGATTGCACCGGCATAACGTCAGCATCGCGGTCAGCATCGCAAATCCACCGCAGCCTCTGGTAAATCTCCAAAGTCCACTGTCTGAAAGGCTGCACGCAGTTCCGAGGTCGGCCTTGTGAGATCGTTCGATCAGATAGTTCTCTATGGGCGACGGCGATAAATCTGCAAAATATTCAGAGAACGTATCTTTGTAGAAATGGCCCCATGAAGTTACATCACAGTTCACCATCCACCTTTGAGTCCATGATTCCTGTATGACATGCGGGTAATCAATCAAATAAAACCGCACCGGGTTTTCAATGGTTTCCCCATGTTTCCCCTTTTCCAACAGAAAACGTTGTTCAAATTTGTTCAATGCTAGATGTCATTGCCGTGGACACGATCTCTGGGCCTGCCGATGTCACATGAGGCTTCCAGGTGTTCGCTGGCCAAAGCTGTGACCACGTGATGCCCTGAAGCAATTCCCATCCTCTTTAGGATGGGAATGGGTCCAATGGGTCCAAGGTGCGCAAATGAAAAAAAAAACACATCAATACGTCAGGTATTGATCAATATATATCAATATTGATCATCTAGAGTCTAGAGTGGAAATGTTGACAGGCCCCCAACAACAGGATTATTTGGTGGCTACTATCTTTTGAACCAAGCCCACACACCCAGTGATGGTGTCTCTCGTTCTTGACCGGACTTTTGCCTGGTGACTCTGGCCCTATCATGTTTGGCAAGGAAGGCAGACTGTTCATGACTGAGTGCGGTGGAGAATGACAAACCATTGAACATTATTATCATTATTAAAACATATTAAAGCAATGTCGAACAACATGAAGATGTTCATAGTGTTCATCTCACTCGACAGGAAAAAGATGTCCACCCCCTACCGTTCCCGGTAGCCGTCGGCAATCTGGCTATGCCTGGAGGAGATGCCAACAAGCCGGTCTGAATGGCACGTGTCAAGGGTGAACCTTGGAGCTGGTGGAGCTGGTGGAGCTGGTGGAGCTGGTGGAGCTGGTGGAGCTGGTGGAGCTGGGAGATGATCCATGGAATCCATGGGATTCAAACTGTCCATGGCACACGTCATAAACACGGGAAGCATCACATACCAAGGATGGGATGATAGAAATATCTTGGACGCACACAAGAGCCGTTCAACTTGACTCACCAAGGAACTAACAACTAGGTCCACGTGTTCACGGGACATCAAAGGCTTTAATTCTGCTGCTTGTTCTTCACCCTTGGAAGTCAATTGCGCATCCCACATGTCACCTTGGTGGCACCAATTACGGTAAGACACGGTACGTAAGACGCCAAGCATGTTTAGGACGGTGATACTATCGTGCTGCGGCATATGATGGCACATGCAACATCCGAGCATTCTTGCACGGCAAGACCCGACCAATTTTTGTGGTTTGTGAATTTGAGTGATCTTGGTTGCCACATGACAACAGGACCGAAAAACATGGAAGCAGCCACTGGGATCAAGAAAAGTCACATCACCTCAAAACGCTGAACATCTCCAAGTTACCTGGGTCCTGGTGATGCTTCGCATAATGTACATTGTACTCACTTTCCTGGGGCCGGGCATCTTTTGACCTTCCACCTATTTGACCTTCCACCTATTTGACACAGTGAATTTCTCTTCCCAACTTCAGCTTCAGAGTAGACACGCAAAACAAATGCTACATAGAGATCTTCACAGGTCTTCACATCAATCAACTGCCAGAAGGCTTTATTGATATACACGAGTCGAGTCATGTGAACTTAGAACGCCTCACACCTTCAACATCCTGTGACTACGTTTTTTATTCACTTTCGAAAAGCCAAGGATCTCCATGGCGAACCAGCAGCAATCGTTGCCCCGTGGCAGCCGTGGACGTAGCTGTGATGGTCCCAGTCGCAGGCAGCGGCTGAGCCCACTGGAGCACGGAGAGGCATCCATGGAAGCATCCCATGGCTGCGGCCAAAACTCCAGCCTTTCTGTGGACAAAAATGGATAAAACCATATAAAACCATATAAAAACATAGATAAAAACCATATGGTCTGGTCTTAGAAAACTTCATACCTGTTCAATTATAGTATTATGTTCACTTCTGCTTGTCTCAGGTGTTGCGGATGTAGATGATCTGGATGGTGGTTTGAAGCTGCTTGGAAGGTGATAGAGGCCCAAATCAGGAAGGACAAGACAAACATATTTGACATAATCAACCAGTTCTGCGGTTGGCTAAGCTGGAAAGTTAGATAAGCCTCTCGGATAAGATGGATAAACCCACGGCGATGTCACCTCCTATGTCAAAAACGATTGATGTAGTTTTGCTGGGAATGGCAATGGCTATTTACGGCTATTTGGAGTAAAGCACCTGGCAAGGTCTAAGAGTCTGTTTGCTTACACCAACCGAAGTCATGGAGCTTGCTGCGGCTGTCGCCGGTCACTGCTTTGTCATCCACTTGCATATCCATCTGCTCTTGCAGCGCTTTCCCAACCAAATTCAAGGCGGCGAGTGGCAGTTTCATCATGAAACTTTGTAACATCACAGGTTTGATGCACCACCTGCACCTTACCGCCACATACGTTGAATAAACGGTGAACCCCTGAATCCATTGGATGCATCATATGCATCGTTGGGTAAAGCAAACAAGTTTAGCAAGACATGCCGGAAGCCACTTCGACTGATCTGTGAAGTCTGTGAAGTCACTGGGACTTCTGATGGCTCCTTTTGAACGGTGCTCTCACCACTCGCCTGGACACATGGGATGTTGAGACACAACGATGCTTTCGCATATGCTCGCTGACAGCCGAATCTTGACCCAGCAAGGTGGCCAGCTACACATCCCAGTCATAAGCTTCAAAAATAATCACGATGTTCAGCAAATTTCAGCAATAGTTTGGGACCCATATGGACCCATTGACCCCCGCATCGACTCGCCTCCTCCATCTTAGATGGAAGGCCATGGCCGAGGCACCGAGGCACAAAAAACGGTAACCGCCACAGCCAACTTCAGAAAAAACTGCCCTGCCAGACTTTGTGCCACTGATGCCATTAATATCCATTAATGCTGTTGAAAAAGAATGAAAACAGAAATCTGATGTTGGAAACTAAGGCCAGGTTGATCAAGAATCATCAAGGTTCAGTCGGTGTTGTTAGCATTAAGGGCATATAGGGACATCATTTCATGTCCATTTGGACTAGTCATGGACTCTCATGTTGTGGGCAGCCATGCGTGCTGAAAAAGTATGGCTTCGAGGGCAGGCGTGGAGACATGGCTTTTCCCACATGATCCAGAAACACACATATAATTACCCATTACAACGCCTGAAATCCATCATCAGTCAATCATACATGTCCTCTTGATACTGGAGCTGCAACAAAAAGACACACCAAAAAGAGATAATCCAAACAATTCAAATAATCCAAATAATCCAAAACCCATACATTTCAATACCAACATCCAAAGATCTGGAATTTTGGAACTCCTTGGAACTCCTTGGAACTCCTTGGAACTCCACAACAGTCACAACATTCAGGTGGCCTTCCTCAGTTCAGCATCTTCAAAGAGAAGTCGCGTTTGCAGCTCCATGTCCTGTGGGGAGCCAAGACACCCTAGCGATGGCACCACTCCAACCCTCCAAGCTGATAGACAAGCATAAACATGTCCTAAACATGAGAATTCACATGAATTCTGGTATAGAATGGTGTATAGTTTCTTATATATGTAACATTCTATATATCTTATATATATATGGCTAAAAGTCAAGAGGATGGTTTATGTGTTGTGGCTATCCCAGAATGTGAATCTAAAAACGAGTGTATAAGTTCCTATTAAACTCATGACCATCCCCCAACATGAGCAATTCGCCCAACTCTTGAACATATAATGCAGATATTACAACCAATATAATGTATACACCAAGTGAGTGGATCCTCCTAATACCTGATATCATAACTATATAACTAACATTAGGTATATCTATAGTAAATCTATAGGTATTATATGTATATATATATACATGTATATATGTTGTTACATAGTGTTACATTATATCATCTACATACCATCTACATATCGTATAGATATCGCGTCACAAATTTCTGGATCCTCCCAGACCCCAACTCTGCACTCTGCACCTCCACCTCTGGGCGACGTTGTTCTCGCTGCTCTTCCAAGTCACGCAACTCTTCGCGGAGCTTCGGCAGCTGCAGCACAGTCACGGTCTGCCACAAGCCGAAAAAATGTGGAAAAAAAACACCTGGTGAAATTGAAAATAATGTGGAAATATATCGAATAACGGAATAATCAACCAGCCCCCCTGTGAGTTTGTCTGAAGAATTAAGGGAACATCGCCAAAATCCAACGGTTACTGTCGCATCATTTGTCCTTATTATTTGATGGCCGTCCCGTTAAACCCACTGATACGATGCTCTTTTTTGGGACGTGGCAAGTTGTCATGTTTTAAATCCGTAGAGAAAGTCCAGTGGATAGTATTCAACACATGACTTAAATGCCGTCCAAAACTATACCATCATTGCTTGGTTTTTATGTCTCTTTGTGCCCAGAAACGAGACCATGTGAATTAAATGTAACTTGAGTCTCATCAAAAAATGTGGAGGGATATACCTCTCTTCCAGAGTTGTTTGCCTTTCAAGGCAGGGTTCACATAAATTATGTTAGACAACCCAGAACTGAAAACATGCCAGCAAGACATATTGACAGGCTGGCAGAGCCACATTTGCCAGCACACTCAAGGCCTAGTGCAGGGCAAGTGGATGGAATTCGTGTCGAAAGGCGGTTCAATGGGATGAAGAATAGTCAGTGATTATATATAGAAGTCAACATATTATAACTAATTATAACATATAGAAAGTCAGCCACTTTAAGTTTTGAATAGTTTTGACAGTGCTGCGACCATGTGATCCTGGTGTACCACATTGTACCAGGATTGTATCACTGATGCACCGAAAACTCTCTGAGCTTCACCTTGACATCCATGGTGTCCATGCCATCCGCGACGGCAGCGGCTTCTTTCATTGGCTGCACGAAGGCCTATCTTCCACAGCACATGGCAGGTGAGGCATCAACGATGAAGTGGAATGCCTTCCTCAACAAAATCATACATCTCGGAAGTCATTGAAGCCATTTATCATTGGTGTCCAAACTGCAGGCATGTTTCAATGTTAAAGATCGTATGTTGATACTTTGGGGTACGTTCAGTCTCATCAAGAATCCATTTTGTTGGATGTTCAAAACACTTCAAACGTGGATCCCATGAAAGGGACATGAATTGGATTTTTCTTCAGGATTTCACACCGGGCCCCCAAAACATCCCGGCAAAAAATGACCAGAGATTGATGTTTTATTGTTCCATATATTTTATCAACAGATTTACTATGATTTGCTATGTTTTACCATATTTCACCTCATTTTCACCATATTTTACCAATGGATTGACATTCTGTTGACATCATCAGCTCAGCTCAGCTGGGCCTCCGAGAAGGTTTCGGCATCCACAGCACAGGTGGCCGCCATTTTGGTGGCAAAGTTGGGCTCGGAGAGAGTCGTGCGCACTTCATCGCCTTTGAGGTGGAAAATGATGGAACATTGGATACCATATGGATGCCATATGGCATATGATATATAGGCATTGGTATCCATATTAGTCATGTTCCATCATTTGATATGGCATATGGTATCCATTTGATGATATTTGATGATATTTGATGATATTTGATGATATTTGATGATATTTGATGATATTTGATGATATTTGATGATATTTGATATAGGATGATATAGGCATTTGACGATTGGAGTTGATTGAATAAGACATGAACTACGTAGACTTAAATGCCATGAAATATGGGTGGACGACGATTGGTTGACATGAGCTGTGATGGGATCCCGGGATCCCTGCATATCCCGCCGAGGAACGAGTTGGGGTGGAGGAGACCCTCATCAACATGCAACACAGTTCCATGAGCGCCAAGATGGGCGTTCGCCTCGGGGCAGTGGATGGCATGCTCTGTTGAATGTTTCCTCAACGTGTCATTGACGTGTCATACATGTTGTGAAGGTGGGAGGTCAAGTTCGTTACAGGTGCCCAATCAATGATCCACACTTTGCGAGCTGCAGAGGTGAATGTGAATGTATAATTAGTTGTATATTGTATTAGTTTCACAATGTTTCACATATTACATTCATGATCAATGAAAAATGATACCTATCTGTATTATATTGTATTATAGTATCATACTATTGCAGTTTGACATAGTTTGACGCTGACCTGGGTGGATCCTGCTCAATCATCTCAATCCCACCGCTGAGAGACCCAGACTCGTCATTGGTGCAGTGTTGATGCACAGCCTTTCGCAACTCAACGCCATCCTGTGAGGGGATGGATTTGTTCCTTATGGGATGAGTGTTTCATGTGTTTCCAAGGGAATCCATCCCAGTATGCTGGTTCAAAATGGTTCAAATGGATGGATACAGTTGGAATCAGTTGGATACTGGAACTATGCTCTGGGGATCTCTGTCAAAAATGAAGGGCCGTGTGCCCTGCGCTTACACTCCTGCTTGCTGAAGTTCAACAATTGAAATCGTCCACTCTCCACCTGGCTAAGAACGGTTGACTGAAATCAGTAGATATAGCATGATATTGACATTCACTATGCTACAGTCCGCAAAATGATCCAGTGACATCCAGCACCTCCGATTTTGCCTTTGTCACCAACTCCTCCGCAGCCTGGGAAATGCACCAACATGCACCAACATGCACCAACTTACCCTCCACACTGTGGGTGTCGCTGTGAGCCTCTGCCACTTATTATTGACATTGACTTGCTGATCCCAACCCAACATAGTCTTTTCGCGTCTCCAAGGGATTGAAGCTGTGTTTCCCTCTTTCAGATTTACATGATGTTTCCCCAGCGAAATCAATGGAGAACAATTGTTTCTGCAATGGTGAAATGTGATGGGAATTGGGATCTTGCTGAAGGTTCTTCTTGCGGCACAACCTGTGGACCCCCCAACCCATAAATGAGCAAGTATGATCAAGTTGAATATGTTGAATGGGTCACTGCCCTGTCAATCTGCATGTCGTACCAATGGTCATGCAGTGAAAGAGATCCATGACATTCCATGACATTCCAGGAATCCATGACCAAATCATCCACTGAGTCCACGGTTCCGATGTATTCCGATGTTGCAAAGCCTCCACTGCATTGGCCTTTTGCGTGCAACGATTCACCACCTTCGTCGAACGGGTCACATCCCATATCATCACAACTGTGCGCGTGGACTCATCCAGTGCCCCAGTGCCCAGTTCAAAAATGGAAACATCGAATCACCTGTTTCGAGGGCGCAAACTTGAAAAGCCCTGGACTTTCCGTTGCCATGTTGCCATCCTAGTTTACTACGGCAACCCTTCCATCTTGCGGCTCATCGGCCGATGATACCTGTGGGGTCCCTGGTGCCTCATCCAACAGCTCCGTGAATTCCTTTTGGCTCTCTGCATGCCTTGGAAATGGACCACTGGACTGCAGGAGCAGACTCCGACATGAGAAATGACAAGGTAGGTCTCAACCAGTTTCGTTTTACACCCTTCTCAAGACCTGGGCTGCACACTCAGCTTTCTTCTCTTCATATTCTTCTTGCGCCTGTGACACATGTTGATGGAAACCAGCAAAGGCAGAGGGGAACACGGGTAACCCGCAAGATTCAGTAAATGTTTTCCATGTAGACTGCTGGAATAAAGAATCATGTTGCACAAAATTGTCAGAGCAGCCCCATCATTTCATGTCTTCCACAATTTTCAGAGGAACAGCAAGCCTGTGTAGGCAGATTTGACACGATTTGGCAATAAAATTCAAGGTCATCAAACGGGTGAAACAAGGTAATCAAACGGGTCAAAGTTGGTCAACAGGTCATCCTGACATCCTGCGATTGCACAACTGCTTCCAGTGCTTCCAGCACTTGGCGCCTCGTTGAAGCGCCGGGTGATCTCCGCCAGTTGCTGCTGGAGTTTGCTGGCGTTGGAGGAGGCCTCAACTGCCAGCATTTTGAACATGGAACCATCAAATCCACATGGAAATCCACATGGAAATTAAAATGAATTAACAGGTAATCAATGGTAATTAACATGTCATGTTAAGACTTAAGACTCATAACGAGAGTCATAAGTTATAAGATTTTCTCTGAGATGCGTATGATGTTCTCAGCAGAGTCCTGGATCCCGACAGCACTCTTTTGCAAGTCCTCTAGCAAATTGTGTGCGTCCTGGCAAGGTGGCGGGTTGGATCAATATGAAGCTGCAACATGCTGCAACTAAGCTCATCAAATCTCATCAAGCCGCTCAAGGCACCTTGTGTCTGGTGTACTGACGAGCTAATTCTTGACCTTTGAAGCCTGAAGCGGACGGCGTCATCGCGCGGTAGGGTGTGTCATGGCGCCTTGCAGTCTAGTACTACTCGGCTGTGCCAAACTTGTCATTTTCAGCTGGTGGAAATTGGAATCTGGAGAAGGGAGCCGCTGGAGCCACTTCTTTCTCGGTCTGAGATTGTTCGATTCTTCCTGCACTGTTCTCACTCCCATCTCCGCAGCCAAGACACGGCATAGCCCTTGTGCCAAGGACAAGATTTCACCTGTGCATTCACTGACCAGAGCACCTTGAATCACCTTGATAGGTTTTGTAGAAAGAAACCAGCAAATAGCCGAGTGGATGCTGGATGATGCTGGTTGGCAGCCTACATCACCAAGTCCACCAAGGGCTGGAAGCAATCCACTCTGCACCGCCTGCAAAGGATGGAACTGCCTTGTTTTTCGTAGAAATCCGGGGATTCCAATAACTTCTGACCTGTCTGAGCCACATAGGTTTTGGTATGTTTTGGTCAATCGTCTGCAACCACATAAAAATGCCATTTACATCCATTTACACCTTTTGACATACTATATGGGACAGCAAGGCTAGTGTCAGCAGCGCGGAAAAGTTCGAAATCTGGAGGCGTGGAGCTCCCAGCTCCCGAACATGTGAGCCGCAAAACGATGCAAAACGATGTAACTGACGAGTAACTGACACCTTGAAACGTTGAACTCCGAATTTCAGACACCTGGAGCACGGCACCCACAGGACGGCCTCTCCATTCCATGCGGAGCTGTGTGCCGGTAGGGTTGGGTCCAAGACCCCCAGACCAGGCACCTCAGATTTCATCGAAACGGGTGATTTCCATGTGATTTCCATGTGATTTCCATGTGATTTCCATGTGATTTCCATGTGATTTCCATGTGATTTCGGTGAAACCTCTGTGGATTTGGTGGAATTTGGTGAATTCCAGTTTTTCAGGTTTCTGAGCCAATCACCTGGGTGGATCGAATGAACCGTGGTGCCATTCCTGGAAAAAACATGTGCATCGTTCATACAAATGCTTTCAACAAACACTGGGATCGGTGTGGGATACCTGAAAAAATGCGAGGGATGTAGAAGGACATATCTCAAAGAAATGCAAATGCTCAATTTTGAAAAAAATGATAAAAGCATTGCAAGACCCTGGAAAACTCATGGAAAACTCATGGACCAGTGCTGCGCCATGCTGCGCTATGCCTGCTGGAGGTTCTTTGGCGACAAAGTGTGCCACTCGAACTAGCTCTGCAGCTGCCTTTCAGGGATGGCCATAGCTGGATCGGTCTTGGGAAAATCAAAGGATTCAAAGGTCAGGAAATCGATCGCCTCTGCCAAGGTGGCTTGCTCCAAGTCTGCTTTAAAAGGTGATGCAGGTTGCCATGTCTCCTGCAAATCCAAAGTCTCGTTCTCGTTGAATCAGGTTCTTGGCTTCTCGCTTTCTCTCGTTTTGATGAGCCAAAACATGCCAAAACCAAAACACCTCGTTTTCAGGTTCTGAAAGTGCACCAGGTGCCAACCCTACAACCCTACAACCCGACAGTCCGGTGGATCCAGGATAGGAGATGAGATGTGCACCTGAACGGCAGCCACGGCAGCCACGGCAGCCACGGGGTGGAAATGAAGCTGGACATCTTGGGACCAAGCTGGACATCATGTTGTCCTACAGTTGTCTTACTACAACTATTCAGACTATTCACAATCGATGAGATATGAAAATATATGAGAATCATGATGCATTGGTGAGTATTGGTGACATTTAAGGTGACATTTGGGGACTTTTTGCTCTCAGACCCTACACACATTCAAAAAAAATCGTTTGGACTGGTGGCCAGTTTCTGGAAGCCCCGCTAAACTTCCAAAACCCTGGACCAGCCTTTGCCGCTGCACTGTAGGCATCGACGCTGGGTGGTGACATGTGTAGCACGGCCTCGAATGCTCTGCATCGCCATCGGCAAACTTGAATAAATGGACTGAATAAACAGCAGCAAAGCTTTCTTGGGATTTCTTGGGTTTTCTTGGGATTTCTTGAGTACCTTGGATCTATGTCATAGCATATGCATTGCATTTCTTGGATTCTTGGTCCCAAGTAACAAGTATCCCGGTATCCCATCCTTGTGGCAGACAATTCTGTCATACCATAAGGGCCCGGGCCATTTGGAGGAATTGAGGACAGGAAGTATCCAAGGTAGAAACCGTACACTGGCCACAGGAGATCCTGATCCGGGATGGGGATGATAATGATGATCATGGGCCTCTGCCGTTTTTTCGCTTTGGGATTCTGGTGCTTTTTGCATGCAGAAATTTCTGCATTTTCGTTCATTTTTAGGCATTCTTAAAAGACTGCGGATTCTGGGGGTTGGCTGCCATCAGTAAAGTCTTCAAATTTTGCAAGTTTTTTTCGTCGTGAAACCCAGGCAGCGGTTTGTGTGCAATGGCAATCCCATCTCTGTGCCGCAAGTCCTTTCTTCTGGGACCTCATTGGACAGCAAAAGGACGAACTGGACTCTTCCCAAGGCCTCTGCTTGCGACACCGGGCGTAGCTGAGCTTGTGCAATTCAGTTTGAAAGGGCATAAAGACTGACACCTTTGTGAACGTTCTGCAATGCAGTTTTCAAAATGACCAAAACACATCCAGTCTTCTGTTTTCCACTCCGAATCCAATCAATACAGGCATGATACAGGGTTTAACTCCCAAAGAGCTGCATGAATGAAGCCTGCCGGTACCCGGCCTCAGCCCAAAAAACATCCAGTGTAGCAGGTGTCTCCCCTTCCTCATCCTATCAAAAGACGAAGTGTCATGCAACACAACGGATGAATATGTGCGTGTGTGTGACATCTTCCCATGGTCTTGAGATAGAACATCTCAGAATTCTTGTTCGAGTACTACCTGATGTGAAAGTCACTATGTAAGACATAGAACTTCCTTCACAATATTATCCAGTGGATCCCAGTGGATCCCAGTGGATCCAAGACATCCAAGTGTACCTCCAAGGCCAGATAGGCCAGAAGCCTTGCTTCCGACGGCAGAGCTGCAATGGCATCTTCACATTCCTTTGCCTTAGGATATGCGGTTTTGATGGATTGACCCGAACTTGTAGGCGAAACTTGTAGGGTGGGCCCTGGTATTGAAAATATGATAATTATATGATTAAGATTAATTAAGAGTGCGTAGACTCCGTAGACCCTGGCCAGTTGTTCCATCTTTGCCGTTGACTTCATGCAAGCTGTCAATGGCAGGACCGAAGGGTAAGTTACTGAAGTTACTTGAATCCCCCAACTGGTTCCCAACTGATTCCCAACTGGTTCCCTGCCGTCCCTGCCTCCCGCTCAGAGTACCAGTGGGGTGGCGGCCCTTCCTGCCATGGATCCCGTGGATCCCGTGGATCCCGTGGATCCCGTGGATCCCGTGGATCCGTGAAATCGGTGAAATGTCGAAGCTGCCAACAGCGACAGCCAAGGGCAGCCATGACTCAGTTCCCGGATTCCCATCCCAAAAGGTTCCTGCGCAAAAGCTTCATGAAGAACTGCCAAGTTGTCCTGAGGATTTTTGGTGTCTGCACATTGCAGAGTCACCCCATCTGGTGCTGCACTGTCACACTGTGTTCATCAAACAGGAGATGCGTGCATTTTGCATAGGCAACACAGTCTGAAGCAAATGCCCTCTAAGCAGAATAAACACTCAATACACAGAACCTCTGCAGTCACAGGCGTATCATGTCGCCACAAATTTAATTGAAGGGCCTGATGGTTCAAGATGGCTGGTGGTATGCACAGAACCATGCCGAGTGAGAGCTCTTGGATGGCATTCAAAAGTTTTTCCTGCGTCGCAACTCAAAATGCGGATCATCTGTGATGCACAGAAAGACTTCTTCAATTCCTCCTTCTTCAATTAATTGTTATCTTTTAAACTTGCCGTGCATCACTTTAAAGTCATGAGACACGTTCTTTCAGAGGGCAGTTTCATCTTCCTCCAAAATCCATCATCCTTATAATTTTTTCCTCCCAAACATTCCCTCAATCAATTACCCAGTATTGGATTATTTGGATTATTTGATTTTGGTAGGGAATGAGGAACCACATCTTCAGTTTCCGATCTTCAACCACAACCCCGCCTTGATCCATCCACGAAAGGCAGCGCCAGTGAGCCCCGTGGCGTAACCGCTCTGGTCCGCATCGATGAGACCCTCGTGACTGAGACCCAGCCTGAGATGATGGCATCCCCAAACCAGTTGAGGCCCAAAATTTCCATTGGAAAGGCTGGAAAGGCCTGTTATTTGGATTTTGGATGATTTTGGATGATATTGGTTTATTTTGTGGAAAAATATCCAAAATAATATCCAAATTTCATGGTGCTGTCTTGCAATTGGGTCAAACTCCAAGCTCCCAACACTGGCATTCCTTGCGTCGTACCTGGCCGAAAGGAAGGCAGCGCCATGCAAGGGCAACATGTTTTTTAATTGCCATGTCAAATCACATCAGTACAAAACTGATGATATAATATAATACTATATGTAATGTCATACCAGTAGTGCCGCACAACGCGGTGGCAAAAGTTTCAAAGATAGGACGCTGTAGGAGGGGTGAGTTGTTGTGATGCATGGATGGCAGAGCAAATCCACTGGACCGAGTTGCAGTGGTCACCTCACTCACAACTGCAGGATGTAGTGTGGCGTAGCAAAGCGCAATGTAGTTGTAGCCGCAGTTGTAGTTGCACCTGTGTTGTAATTGTAGTGTAGTTGTAGCTGTAGTGGTAGTAGTTGATGTAGTTGAAGTTGTAATGTTGGAGTTGTAGTTGTAGTTGTAGGTAATGTAATTGTAGTGTAGTGTAGTGTAGTTGTAACTATAGTTGTAGTTGTAGTGCAGTGTAGTGGTAACTGTTGTTGTTGACGTGTAGTTGAAGTTGAAGTTGAGCTTGCAGTTGTAGTTGTAGCGTAGTTTACTGGTAGTGGTAGTTGTAGTTGTAGTGTAGTGGTAGTTGTAGTGTAGTTGGAGTTGGAGTTGTAGGTGTAGTTGTAGTTGTAGCCTAGTGTAGGGGTAGCTGTAGATGCAGTTGTAGTTGTGGTTTTAGTGTAGCTGTAGTGTAGTTGCGCTGTAGTTGTGGTGTAGTTGTAGTCGTTGTAGTTGGTAGTTGGTAGTGGTAGTGGTGGTGGTGGTAGTGGTAGTGGTAGTGGTAGTAGTGGTAGTGGTAGTAGTGGTAGTAGTGGTAGTAGTGGTAGTAGTGGTAGTAGTGGTAGTAGTGGTAGTAGTGGTAGTAGTGGTGGTAGTAGTGGTAGTAGTAGTAGTAGTAGTAGTTGTAGTAGTAGTAGTAGTTGTAGTTGTAGTTGTAGCAGCAGCAGCAGTAGTAGTTGTTGTTGTTGTTGCTGTTGTCGTCGTCGTCGTCGTGGTTGTTGTTGTTGTTGTTGTACTTGTAGTTGTAGTTGTAGTCGTTATTGTTGTTGCTGTTGTTGTTGTTGTTGTCGTGGTCGTCGTCGTCGTCATCGTCGTTGTCGTCGTCGTCGTCGTTGTTTCTGTAGTTCTTTCTGTAGTTGTTTCTGTAGTTGTAGGTAGTGTGGTTGTAGCGTAGTTTAGTTGTAGTTGTAGCTGTAGTGTAGTGTAGTTGCAGTTGTCTATCTATCTGTCTATCTATCTATCTATCTGTCTATCTGTCTGTCTATCTATCTGTCTATCTGTCTACCTGTCTATCTGTCTATCTGTCTATCTGTCTATCTGTCTGTCTGTCTGTCTTGTTGTCTGTCTGTCTATCTAGCCATCTTTCTGTCTATCTATCTGTCTATCTATCTATCTGTCTGTCTGTCTGTCTATCTGTCTATCTGCAAGTTTGAAAACGAAGCTATTCTGCGAGACTTCCTCAATGTTTGAACTTGACAACATCCAAAACGCAGCGAAACATTCTCAAATTTTGAACTTGACAACGTCAAAAACGAAGCAATTCTACGAGACTTCCTCAATTTTCGACGTGGAGGGCATCAAAACGAAGCAATTATGCGAGACATCCTTCAAAAATGAAAAATTGAGTGCAGAGCTCACGGCCTCGTGCCAATGCGTTTTGCAATTTTTCCACTCCATCTGTCTAAGGCACTGCGCCTGCCACAAAAAGTGAGGCAGGGTCATGCGAAGTGCTGCACCTGTCACGCAAAATAATCTTAGCAAACCTGAAGATCTGGTGCTCCAAAATGCAACCCCTCTCAGGAAATCAGCGGCCGGACCTCCTAACAGCTCTGATGAACATGTCTCTTGTACTGCGCCTGCCACGTGAAATGCATCTTTGCGGAACCTCTTCAAATGTCCCACGCCTGCCAACGATTTTGAAACTCCGACATAGCCCTCACGTTTTCCTCACTTTTGGGAAGCTGCAGGCCCTTGCGCCTGCCACGAAAAGCTACATCCAAGTTTCAAAAAGCGCACCGAGACCGCCAGTTTTTTACACTTTTTGACTTCGAAATGTGCTTCGGGCCAAAACGGCGTGCACCTTTTGAACATCTCCATTCCTAAAGGGCTCCGAAGCTGAAGTGTTTTGTACATTTTGACTTGGAAATGCGCTTCGCGCCACAACGGCGTGCACTTTTTCGATATCACAACTTCCAAAAGTGGTCTGACGTGGGTGTGTTTTGCACATTTTGACTTCGACTCGCCACAACGGCTTGCAATTTTGCATCTCTTATCTGACCACATGGCTCCGCACCCGCCGCTTTAGCGAGCCTACTTTTCAACCCTCCGGAGCCACAAATCATTGGAAAAACACAGTGTTTCGCGACTTTGCTACCTTTTCGTTCACCTGCACCTTCTTTCTTCTGATTCTTTCTCCTCTCTGATCTTCTTTCTTCTGCTCCTCTCTTCTCTGACTCTTCCCACCTCTGCTTTTTCATCTGTCCATGTTGTCAGAAGTTTGACTTCCAAACTTCCCTCAATAATTTCGTATAATGTGATCATCCTATCTATTTGTTATCACCGCCGCGCCTGTGTCACTGCCCTCTGATGCAGGTCGCCCCAGTGGGGTATCGAAGGTCAAACCATGGAGGTGTGCTGCACCTGCGGGAAATCCATCAGTAGATCCAGGAATCTATCACTGAATTTCCACGGAAATCTACAGAAATCTTTACAAATTAGACTTTGAAAGTTGATTTCTATGGTTCATTTTTTTTTACACATCCTACTAAAGTCTTTGTTGAAAGTTCAAAATGGCCGAAACCTGTGTACAACTCCAAACATGGTATCTGTGAGCGACTGGACACCCCGCACCTCGAATGACACAAATGGCCACCGGAATGGAGGGTGCCAACACCAGGACTTTGCCGCCTTGGCGGCCCCAAACCTTGGCACAGCGACACAGCGACCAACAAAAACAACAGTTGGTGGAACAAAAAATGCAAAGGCCCAGCAAGGGACCAAGCAGCTGATGCCCTTGGTATTAAATAGAATATAATGTATTCTGTATTCATAATATTCTACACATACAAAAATTATAAGTTAATAGTTAATATTAATATCAATATGCCTTCCTGCTATGGCATGGTGATGTGTTCAAACACAGGTGCCCAGGTCTCCAAATCCCATCGCAAGCTGAGCCAAGTTGCTTTGTTTTGACTGGCGCCGGCTGCCTGGGGAGGCAGGACAGATGGATCCCAGGCTACATGTGGCCTGTGCAGTTCTGATTGGATTTCCAAATGCGCACGGCTGAGATGTGAATTCGCGAAGGAACATGTGCGCACACAATCGAAATCAAGTCCTGCACGACATGATGAGTACAAACATCCTTCACACACTTTCACACATCATGGAGTTTCCAATTTTACCTTTTCAACTGATTTGAAGCCTGTGCGAATGTAGATCGGTGCATCCCAGGCACCAATTCGAACAAACGGCCCAGGCGCAAAATGTGGAGGATGTACTCATCACCTGCGGACGGCAACAGGATTGGTTGGCGAAAATGGCAAGTAAGTGAGAAACTAAAACAATGTTAAACATATAAAAAACTCCATGCTACCATGCTACCTGACACATCCTGATGCAGAAGTTCTTGACATTTGTTGATGACTGTTCTTGAAACTGGTGGAGTTAAGGCTTCAGTACCAAATGGCGAAGAAATACCTCAAAAATTTCTTGTTTATTTCAAAACAAAGATACAAATATCAGCCATGTGTGTCAGGTTACCTCTACTAGCAGCAAGTTCACTTGAACCCCCAAGTCAACTCGTGACAACTCCGCACTCTGGGCCAATGGCTGAGAATCAAGTGCCGTGGCTCCAAGCCAGCACCTGGAAAATGAAACGTTGCTATCCCACATGTCACGGGCAACAAATACAATGCGGACACATGGACACATGCGGACAGGCGGACACATGCGAACCCATATTGCTCCGCATTTTGTGACAAATCCTTTCCACACAGTTTTCAATCTGTGAAGGCCCTTTTTGGTTGACAACAGCTCTTCCACCGAATTTTCACCTGTCATCATTGCTGCGAAAATATTCGGAAATTGGACATGCTTGTCCCTGCTAATGACTTCCATATTGATGCTGAAGTCTCATGACAGGACAATGTCTCCATTTTTCGTTTCAACAGCAGCTCAGCGACGCGTGCTTATCAGGGCGACGTATATAGTGCATCAAGGCGCAATTTCGCTCAAAACCTTTGGATTCATAGCGGAGTTTCAGCATCTCTTGAAAGCCTGAGATGGGTCAAGTGGGCCGCAAGCATGTGGGTTGAATGGGTGTTCCATGGTGTTCCCAACAACATTAACCAGGGCTTGTGAGGCAACACATCTCTTCGAACGGGCTTGCAGCGTTGTGGAAGTAAATCAAAATAGAAAGGATCGCTGGACAATATTCCCTCAAACTCACACAGCAAGGTGACTGTCTTCGCTTGTGACTTGTGTCGATCAACGCAACAAACGATGCCCGACGAGCCAGCAGCGTCAAAGGGTTCGGCCAAGCAACTTTGTTCCCGATCAGGTGCGCCCCACGCGTTCCTTGGATATATTGGGCGGCGCGTTTGCATTGTTTTGGATGTTTTAGTTTTTGAAGTTTTCCCCCGCCCTGGCTTTGTTCCACCCCAGTGAATTCGCTGGCTCCCGGCTTTGGGCCCAACAAAACGGGACTGCTTGGCGAGCGCGTGCCCATGTTGCGCGCACCCAAATTGTATAAACGCACAAAGATACGCCCAGGGGGATACAACTCGAAGGCTGCACCATGCGCCTCATGCCGTCGTGCATCAAATTGGCACGTCCTAATCCTCAGTCGATGTGAGCAACAATGCAGGAAAACATGGGCATATTTCTGAAGTTGTTTATCTTGCCTTTGGCTGATCCTGCTTGCGGGCGGTGGATGAATTCTGGCATTAAATGTGACTGGAGGGGGCGCCTTGGTGGTCCACAGGTCAAGGGGATCTTGGCGAACCGGCAAACATCAATAGTAATAGAACTGCCTGATCGAGGTGCATATGTGAGAAATCGTGAGAATAATCTTGATATATCTTGGCATATCTCGATTTGATCTCATGTGTTTTGTTTTGGCCAAAGGGCAGACCTTCATTACCTTCATTTCCAGCCGAACTGTGTCATCAAAATATCCCAATCCCAATTCAAGAACAGGTCAGTGCCAATGGAAATATTGCCACCTGCTAATGGTCAGTTGTTACAAATGACTTTGGCGATATTTGAGTGACCAACATCCTTGAGTTGCTATGGAGCCTTACCAACCCACCAAATCCACCAGGAGCTCGCCGATAGCAGATTGTCCCAGGCCAAAAGGTGAAAAACATCAGATGAATCGTGTGTTCCAAATGACAGATTTCTGATGTATGCTATTTCAAAATTCTGGGAGTGAAAAGTGATATTTAGCCAAAGGTGCATGCTGCATGCTACCAAAAACAGACTCCAATGCAAGTGCTCAATTCAAACGTCACGTCAAAATCTTCCAGCTGAGTGGCAGAGACCAAAGCACTGGGGACACTTCACTGGTAATCGCCTCTGCAAAATGGTGGAATAGGTTGGAACAAAGAAAGTTTCTGATACTGAGAATCTTCATGCTGAATTTCTGGAGATTGTGTAGCCAGGTTGTCTGTGAAAGTAACACTGGCAATCACTGGCATACATCTGGATTGCAGGAAGCACCCTGCAGATTCTGGAACAAGTGGCAGTGCATTCAGAAATCAGGCCTCGAGGAGTTTACTCATCCGATATAACTATGACTACTGTCCAACATTGGATACACTCTGCATGTCACATACCCAATCATGATCCGAACTGTCGAATATGGATCAACAAGACCCATTGCCCTGCACCTTGGCTCGTTCCCAGCCACGCTGAAGTTCTAATCGCAAGGATGCGCAAAGCTGATTCGGATCTGCCCAGGGCTGGTACAGCTTTTATTTTCAGGGGATCCTGAAGCAAACTTCAGTGAACTTTCGGAGTATGGCCACTCCAGTTCTGCTGGTGATTAAAGGATATTAAAGGGATGTTATACAGGGGCAAGTCTTGCTCCCCAGAAAACCACAGATATTGGGCCGTCTACAAAGATTCAGCGTGTCACCTTTGTACAAAGAGTCAGACTAGTTGCAAATGTCTGAATCTCGATCTATCTTTCCTCATTTTACGTAAAGATATTATGTTTACCTTCCAACTATGGTCCTATGGTCACCTGGTGGGTGCTTGCTGCATTTGTTGAAACATATGCCATAGATGACACGAAGTCATGCCTTCGATTTCGCCGTAGCCGTTCTTCTGCACTCGTTGTGGCCTGGACCTGACATGGCCAACTGGACCGCTGTTCCAGGCACGGTGGTTTCGATGTTTTGGATTCCTGGATGATCATGTCATATCATGTCATATCATAGTTTTAAAACATGCTCATATGACTCATGTTGGTTTTGGAAAATAGTACAGAGATATTATTCCCCTCTTGTTCGTGCACGGAAACCACGACCGGTCATGATCCCATGATCTCATTCCATTGCATCCAAAGGACATATCTGTGACAGGCTCCAGGGAGGTATACTGAAGGGCATGCAGCGTTTCACAAATCTCAGTCAGCCTTGGAAGCAGGTAAATCATGGTAAATCCACAGCAGGAATGGTGGGGGAATGTTGATGCTGTTTAGGGAAATATCTCTAAGATGTTGAGGGCCAAATTCTAGTTGCCTGTGGTACTCCTATGTGTTACTCTCAGAGTCTGGCTGATCTTGCTCTTGCTCAACTCCTGATGCCCCTGATGCCTGGGCCGCACCCGTGCAGTGACATTTCCAAGTCTGAGGAGTTTATATAACCATTTAATCTCTGAAAGGCTTTTTCACTGCTCTTTGCACTGCTCCTTGCACTGCTCTTTGCTTCTCATGGTGAACAACTGCTCTTTGCATTGCCCTCTTGGGATTTCGAAACAACTTGACTGTATCTGGCCAGAGCACTTTTTTGGCACCAAGCATCGCGCTGGATGTTTCGGACACCAAGTTCAGTACGAACCCCCCAGCCCTTCCAAGTGAAAGTGGAAGAACTCAGGTTTCAGGCACTGTACACTGTACACAGCAAAGGAACTTTGCATCCTGGGTCAGAAGGTTACAATCAGTTTGAAATAATGCTGTCAGGTGTGGGCAGCACCTACACACGAAGCGTGATGAATAAGATCTACGAGATCTGCGAGATGGCAATGGATCTCAGGTGACGCTCATGGAGATCCGTCAATAAAGGTCGAAATCCAGCTCCTGCTTGGAAGTGTTTACCCGTTGCATGGAACTGGTGTTACTTTGATGGATTGCAAACTAATTACTACTTCTAGTACAAAAAATAGTGTCCAATACTTCTGTCTTCCATTCCCATGTCAAGATTCACGAAAGCTTCATGCCCTTCCCACATAATTTCATGGCATGGATACCAACGAAAATGCTTGGGCTCCTGCTGCACCAGCTGGAATTTGCCTCCTTTTCGTTGCTGGCCATGAAGAGCTCGTTCCACCTGGAACGGTGCGCCGTGCACGAACGATTCGAATACTACTCTGATGTCTTTCCAAGTCTTCCCAACAAAACTTTTGGCATCAAATGGAAGTGTGTGGTATCTTGGTATCTGAAGATGCTATGGATATCTCAGGATGATTATTTTACAACAGGTTCTGCAACATCCAGTGCCAAGGCACGTGGAAGCCCCGGTAGGCAGCCGGCATCTTCTTGGCCAAGCGCGAGGAGTAGGAAGTGTGTTTGGAACCTCAGAGTAAAACACAGGTCATGAGGTCATGATCAGGTCATATGTCGATACGTCATGATATGACATGATGATCCATGATGTGACACTGATCTTTGAGCTCTAAGGCTTGACTTGATCAGGCACAGAGCCATACAGTGTTGTCTCAAGAACTGCGGAAGCATGTCTTCTTCCTGATTTGAGATATCTAAGACTAGAAGACTCTCTTGTGATCCTGTGCTATGCTTGTGCTTCCAAGTATGGATGCAGGCCACAACAGCCAATTTGTGCCATGGCACCCGAGGCAACAGGCACACGTCGACTACGGCGTTTGTTGTTTCTGGCCTTGTCCACGGCTCGTGGACTTGGGGCTTTCAGATTGGAAGGTATCTAATGCGAAACACGCTGGAAGGTATCTAATGCGAAACACGCTGGGTGGGAGCCTTTTCTCAAATATGCTTTTGGCCGCGTATGGCTGATTGCACTTACAGGTAGGATGATACAACACTTGAACTCTTTTTACCATTAACAAGTTGAAAGGAGTTGTCAGAAGGTCTCACAGAAGGTAAACTCCAAGACTGAATACTGCAGCTGTGCATTTTGTTTGGCGTCCCAGCACCAGGTACCAAGCTTGGGTTTGCAACTCCTTGATAAATATCAGCAAACTGGAATGCGATAACTTTCCATTGGAGCAAAACACACAACATCTGTCACACAACCAGGCAACGTAACGACAGGACTTTGTGTCAAAACAAAGAATTCACACAATCAAACTCCATATCAAGCATATCAAGCCATATTGTGGCATCGAGCCTACCATGCAGTCCATCGACATTTCCGTACGGATCCCACAGTCCCGGCAGTAAATCTGTGAAGTGACTGTGTCCCACTTTCGATTCCATTCCTTGTAGGCCTGTTGCGAGGCCATGTGGGAGGACTGGTAGCTGTAAGGGTTCTTGCCAACTCCGGTTTGATGCAAGGATGACGCTATCTTCCAAAAGACCAATCTGTTCACAATAAACAGGTGAGTTTGGTGGTTTCCAGTTTTTTGATCAGCTCAAAACACATCAAAACACAATCCCCAAACAACATCCAAATTGTCAAAGAATATCCAATGCCAATCTGCTTGGAGGTTTCACATCAAACAATCTGCCAGCAACCACCAACGGTCACCAACCAGCAACAAATTTGACCCCTCCTCGCCTCGTAGTGACTCATCAACGAGTCATTTTCCAAGGCACCCAGAAAGTCGTACATCCAGGAACAGCAGGCCTTGGCGGAATGAGATGTAGACATATGGCACAAGGTGCACAAAATGGCACAAATGAAACATCTTGAGGGAAACATCAAAAGGATGGTTTGTTCAATATGTTCAATTGGAAAAAATCAAGCCAAGATCAAAAAGACAAGAAAAAACATGGATTCTGCACAAATGGCAGAAGGACATCCAAGAAGGGTTGGCACAGAAACGCTTGACTCATGCGGCACAGCTTCTGGGCAGTCGCAGTGGTAGTAGTTGCTGGAATATGCAGAACACTCCGAAGACGTGTCATCAAGGCCAGAATCTGTCCTGCGCGGAGCCACTGCATCCAATATCCTGTCCCACAGATTTCTGAAGCGATGAGCACTGCTTCCCCCTCTCTGCTCCTTTGTGGCTTGTTCAAGCTCTCATGAACATGGTAGACCATAACCCTGGCCCTTGCATAGACGAAGTACTTGTCATAATCAGCACCTCATGTCTGCAATCGGTAAAGGGGAGCCAACGAATCCCAATGACACGACACCGTCTTTAATGTTGTCTTCCCTTCAAATGTACAAGCGATTCCGAATATATATCCTTTCCCACCTTGGATAGGTGCCAAGAATGCGTGACCTGACAGAACTAAGAACCGCTGTAACCTCTCACTCATCGTTGTTGAAAATGTTAAAATCATTTAAAATCACAATTCCAAATCTCCATCCCATCCCTGGAGAAGTACACTCCATTGCAGCCAAGTGACACTTTTTTGGAAGCTCGGACTCAAAGGTGAGGAACGCCCAAGGCCAACCGGCCCACAAGGCCGCGCCGAAATCCTCCTGCAGTGCATGGGTTTGATAACCGTTACAAGGGAACTTGGGGAAATATCTGGGATGTAGCCTCTGAAACATGGCATAAAAATGGAGCTGCCTTACACAAACATTCTCAGCATTACGCCTTTGCAAACCTGACATGGTCTGATGATCCTTAGGACCGGCTGCCCAAGACCCAAATGCTCAGGTCCTCAACTCCCTCGAGACCACTCTTCTGCAAAACCTTCAGCTGTGAAAGCTCAAATCCCGGAACTGCCAGCACCGCCATCTCAGTGGCTACCTGCCGCTGAGGATATCATAGGATATCTCTGTGGTGCTATCATGTTATTTAAAAAACTGCGGTGTCAATTGAAAGACATCGCCTGCGACAATTTCAATCGCGCTTGCTCCAAAGGTGTTAGAGTTGGAAGAATTCGTTGGATCTTCAAATCGCGAAGGTGACAACAGAATTTCGCCAGTTGCAGGTCTTCGGTCCTCAAAGTGCGCAACGCCGGCAGATGTAAAGGTGTGACGACTTCAAAGTTGACGGAAAGTTGTAAGACCGCTCTCAGCACAAAAGAAGATTTGGCGTTCATGATTCACAAGAATCATATGCGCAACTCCACCAAGCTTGCGTTTGCTCTCTTGCTTTCATTCTTAGATGATTCGATCACTTTCGCAGCCAGGATCCTTTCACAAGAATGTTCCACGACGCAGGCCTGGAAAAACTTCAACGCAGAACCTCACAGGATGAGCAGAGTGACCAAATTCAGGACTCATTGATTTTCTTGGTGTACATTACCCACCAAGTATTGAGCTAAAAAGAGAGCCTGTTTGAGTGGAGGGCTTCGTATGGCGACAATCCAACTAAGTTCCAGTTGTTCGGCACAGCTTGGATTCACAAGCACTGACAGCACTGAGCCAAGAAACGTAAAGCATCGTCTCCATGGTGTGCTGCATCAGGATTGGCTCCATGTTGCAGCAATGTTTCTGCAATCTGCGACGGAGCTTAAGTGTTAGACATGTTGCAAGTGTGCAATGGAAGCCTCCTTCTTTGGTCAAAGAGAATTGGTCTTGGTTGGTCCGTGTGCATTTATGGGTGGATGATGCATCACATGATGTGAAACAACTACATCATCATGTGATGCATCATCCACCCATATATATATAT